AGTCCCCATTGGATATTATGCACATGTGCCAGCTCTTCTTCCAATACTCGAAACACTTCTAAAACTCGATCTTTGGGATAGCCTTTAGTTCTTTCAGCGATGCGCTTTAATGTCATATATGCTTGCAAAACGACGGCCCTTTAAGGTTCCCTTTATTTTTGGGAATAGGAAAAAGTCAGACAGAGGCATGTCTGGCGAATATGGAGGCTGGGGCATCATTACAGTATTGTTTTTGGCCAACAATTTTGTTCAAAATTTAACAATTTTAGATAAAATTTTGCTGCCACGCGTTTCATACCCAAAACATTCGAAATAATTTCATGGGATGACCCAATCGATATACCAACATCACTTCTTTTATGGTTTATAACCATTTATTCCACTTTTTTCTTGTTTTTATCGGTTTTGCTTGTGCGTTCGGGGCGTTCGTCATCTTCAACGTCTTCACGGCCATCTTGGAAACTCTTATACCACTTGTAAACTCTTGTTTTACTTATAGCAGACTCACTATAGGCCTTTGTTAACATTTTACAGAATTTATTTAATTTTTTAAGCAAAATTGGTTACAAATTCTTTGATCCATTTCTTTTAACAAACGAAAAATCGCCGAGCTCATAAAACACGTCTAACCTTAGCGGCTGCCACAGACAAAATAAACAATGAAAACAGCTAAAGTTTTTATCATACTTCGGGGTCATGTATATCAACATAATAAAGAAAATTTTATGACAACCGAACCCTCCTAACCCGCGAAATTTAACAATTCTTGTTATTTTCTGAACACACCTCGTATACATACAAAATAGATTTTTGCGCAATATTCGCTTTGACTATATATCAGTTTAAAACTTGTCTTTTAATTGCAATTGTTTACGTTCTATATCAAATATTTAGGTAAGTTTTGGATAAAGTTCATATTCTATTCTATTTTTGTTAAGTATTTTATGTGTAGTTTATGTATTTTTGTATTAACAGAGCCAATTAATATATAATAGAAGTTTCAAAATTGTTCTAAAATAAATTTCATTTAATTTTAAGTTATAGAATGCCGCGAATTCTACGGTCTGTTTTTGCTACATTTGTGGTGAATTTACACTAAAAACAGAGAATAACAAACGATGGAAACGATTAAAAGAAAAAAAGTACAAATTACCACAATTAGATAAATTTACTGATATTTTTATAACTTGTGACTGTAAATAGCATTTTTCACGGTAAAACTTAATCCTTAGTATTTTTGTAATTGTTGTTATTTTAATAATGTGTTTTATTAAATGGACATAATATTTAAAATCTATGTGCTGTTTTTATTTGCATGTTAAATTCCGTGTTTAGAGCACCAAATATAATGAGAAAAAAATATTTTTTGCAGACCAGTATCTAATATAAATAAAATTGTAAATTTGTTTAAAATTATTAATTTATTTAGTTGCAAAAATGGTGAATGCGCCGGTATTAATTTTTTTAATGGCCAAGAAAAACATAACATAACACGTTATGCAAACGTAATTTAAATCGTTATTTGCACTTACTATAAAATAATATATTTAATTTTGAAAGTTAAGAAATTTGTAATTTTTAGGTTTTAAAAATTTTGACTATGGCCCAGAAGAAAATCTTTTAAAGTACAAATCAACAAATGCTCCAAGTTATAATCTAAGCTTGTCCACTGCTCCAGCCATCTTATTTTACGCACCTTTTGATTGGATGGCAACTGAACAGGTTAGATTATTTAATAAATATATATTTTACCACAAATATAAAGAAAGAACAATTTTACAGTTTAAAATAAACATTTAATTACCTACATTTTTTAGGTATCAAAGATATTAAGTCAAAATTTGCCCAATGGTAAAATGTACAAGGTCAGAATCAAAAAATTTAATCATTTTGATTTCGTATTAAACAAAAAAGCATCAAAATACATTTACAAACCGATGATGAAAATGTTTGATGAAAAGAAGAACTTAAATTAAGAAAAAATAGCATAGAAGAAAAAATACATACTGTTATAGTGTGAAATAATAAAAAAGAAAAACGTTTACAACATTAATATGAAATTGTAGAATAGTACATTCTGTAACAAGTTTGGAATAAACGTGTTTCAGACATTATTTTCTCTACGACTACGTAAGAATAGTAACGCTTATATAATTTTAAACAGAGAAAAGAAACCAAGCAGTTTTTGACATTTAAGTTTTTTGTATTGTCAAAGTTTGACAGTCAAACCATTTTGTGCCGTCACAATTTTATAATGTAAATTATAATAAATTTAAACAAATGGTATGCCTAAATCTTTATTATAATTAAAAATAGTTATTTACACTAACATTGTAACAAATACAAAACTAATTTTACAAGTAATCTATGTCAACATATATTCTTTTTCTACATTTTAAAGGTCTTTTTTGAATCTGTCAAAACTTCAAAGCCGGTATAGTAGGTAACTGGTTTATCATTTTAATGTCAAATTTATTATAATTTTGATTTGATTATTTGAAAAACAATAAATATAACTAATTTTTTTGTGCCTAAACCTTAATTATATAACTGCTATTATTTTTTAATTAATAAATAATACAGTAATATTTAAATATTTTTAAATTTTTTACGTTTAGTAAACAGCCAGGAGATGTCGTTACTTGTGACCATTCTTAAACAAGAGTAGGAATATTCTCGCACAGTATTGCAGAAAAACATCCTTTCTATGATCAAAAATTACACTAGAATGTTACTATTCTTAAATAGTCGTAGAGAAAGTATATTAACTATTTAAAAACTTAAGGTTTCTTTTAATAAACTAATTTAATTAATATTGGTATTTTTTATATTTTAATACACCCATACATATAAATATATATATATATATATATATACAAAATTTTGGCAACCAACTTTAAATATCTATAAAACCAATCAATAGAATTTGATTATTTTTTTCTATAAAAGTAAAGACATTTGAGATTTTTAGGTTTTAAAAATTTTTATTGCCCAGAAGAAAATCTTTTAACGTACAATTCAACAAAATTTGGTGAATTAGACTTGAAGGACAAGGTCAGGATCCAGAAATTTAATCACTTTAATTTCGCAATTAGCAAAAAAGCTTCAAAATACATTTACAAACCGATGATTAAAATGGCTTGAAAAATAAAGTAATTAAATTTGTATTTTTTTCATATTTTAGTATACATATGTCCTGTAACATGCGTTGCATAAGTGTCTTATACTTATACTTAACTTAAGTAAGTAAGTAAGTAAGTAATTATATTAATTAAACCATAATGGGTTAATTGTTTAATTATTTTGAAAAAAATGTATAGCCAATTCCGGAATAGACTCGGGCTTGGAATCTTTTTAAAAGTAGTGTTGTATAACAAATATAAATATTTATTTAACTAACCAGCCAACCAATTAATTCAGCCAACATTTTTAATTCAAACCAAATGTAGTATGTTGAAAATTTGAGTTTATTTATAATAGAACATTTTTAGTATCACATTGTATAAAGTTAATTTGACAATAATTTTTTTTTTCTAATGGAGAAATTTTAAGAGGAAACAAATTAAAAAATTACTACTTGACCGGGAATCGAACCCGAGCTACAATAACACGAAAAGTGTAAATTTTTTAAATTTATTAATTACTTTAGTTGCAAAAATGGTAAAAGAAAACATTTTAAAAATTTCTAACAACCATAAAATAATATATTTAATTTTGAAAGTTAATATATGGTGATTCTACAAAAGTTGGACAACTTGTCATCTTGAAAACAATGCAAGCCGCGAAGTTGTGGTGAATGCACGTACAGTTCCAGTCAAAATTTCAGTACTGTGGTGAGTAGTTATTTTCTTACGTATATATATTTCATTGTAATTTATATAAGGCTATATGTGATTTGTTGATAAGTAGCATCCACTAAAAAAAAATATCAGTAAAATACTTAATTCCGAATTATAATCTCAAATTTGTATCCCATTCATCAGTACCGTGTCGTCAGTTCCATGTTCGATGTTTCGGTTATCTTTTTTTCGCAAACTTCAATTTAAATTCTGCTTGCGAAGAACTTATTTATTTAATGTCATTATAAACTCATATACATTTGGTGTGGGTCCCATATCTAATAATTGAGATATCGGTATACCCAAAATCCACCAGCCGCCACTGATGTGTGGTATCATTTGATTTTAAGACATTTAATGTATAATATGCTCAAAGTTGGTATACTCGTCACTTCCCTTGCATTAAAATTTAGAAAACACAGATATTTCAGAAACTGTTTGAAAAAGTGACTGACCCGGTCTGGAACAGTATATTTATTATATTATCTTCTTATTATGTTCTTATAACAAAATACTGTTTAATTTTCTCCGAAAACTATATAAACAGAATGGGGTCAAAAGTTGCTCAACTTTTGTATTTTAGTAAATTATGTTTAATATTATAATATTAAGAGGTAAAACAATGTTTTAGTATAGCAAAAACTATATTGTGTATGATGTAATAAAGTTAATAGTTTTATTTTTAACATTCTAATATTAAAATAGAAAAATAGCCGACAAACAAATACAGCAAATTCTAGAAATGATATTGTATCGATTTTACGATTTTATATGAGTTAAATTGACTAGTTTAGGTGCCCAATCCAAACTGAATTTTGAAAAATTGAATAAACAATATTTTACTTTGTGATAAAATTTTAACTTTTTTCTGTTATATTCAAACAAAGTTTTTTATTAAATAAATTTATACTGTAGAAAGTATTTTAAAAATATATTGTTCATACTTAATATAATTAATAATATAATTTTTGCAATTACTCAGAACTTACCAATCATGCATTTGTGGTAAACTTAAGGTACTATAATTAATAAATAGAATCAATAATTTTTAATTGCACGTTCTATTATAATAAAAGAAACGTGATCAGTTTATTCATATTAAATATGAATTGTAATGCTTATGGTAAACATTAGTTCCTTAAGAAAATCAGTACTGGTTGACATTGGGTGACTTCGACACATGTACATAACAAAATTATTTAACCAATATAAGTTATGTTAATTTTATCAAAGGTAAATTTTTCTTTGTTTTTTTTAATAAATTGTTTGCATTTTTATTTTCAGAATAGATATGCGGTTTGTTATAATTGGAATACAACTTTTTACATCTTTTTTACTCTTTCAATGCCTTATAAGTGAATATCGGAAAGAGGATTTTCAGCTACCATTGGTAAGTTTTAAATAAAATAAATAATAATTTACTCATTTACTATTGCTTCCAGAAATATTTTGTGAACAAAAATGGCTACCCTCTGGAAGAATACTCCATGGTCACAGACGATGGGTACATCCTAACCACGCATAGAGTACCTCATGGTAAAAACTCCACCAAAGCAAACCCAAGACCGATTTTGATCAACCATGGTATGGGAGGGGGTTCGGAGAATTTTTTCGCATTGGGCCCCAAAGAATCCCTAGCCTATCTTCTGGCAGATATTGGATACGATGTTTGGATGATGAACGCTAGAGGGAGCTTCTACTCCAGAAAACACGTAACTCTTGATCCCGACAAAGATGTGGACTTTTGGAAATTCAGGTAAAACAACAACAACATTTGGGTAATGAGTGCGATGAGATTATTTTTAGTTTTCATGAAATTGGAACCCTGGATACAGCAGCAAACATTGACTTTATCTTGAATAAAACAGGAAAAGAGGATGTGTTTTATATAGGTCATTCCCAAGGATCGACAGCTTATTTTGTTCTCACTGCAATGCGTCCGGAATACAACAAAAGAATAAAGATGCATGTGAGTTTTGGACCACCTGTGTTTATTCATCTAAATCCGAATGACATTCAACATTTTTTATCCCTGAATGAGGGAGGCATTAAGGTACTAGTTTATTTTAGATTGACATGAATAAAAACATTTTTTTAGAGAATTTTTGAGATTATGAATCATTATGAAATGACATCACCTAAAGTTCAGTCCTGGGTGAAGAGGTACTGCGTTATGCCACTTTTTGCAAAAGCTTGTGGGGTGTTTATGAGCTTTGTGGCTGGAGGAACACCAAATGGTACTTTCAGGGAGGTAAAAATTTATAATAATTTTTTTGTTTATTTAAATTCAAATATAATATACTATTAGGAGATGCTGCCATGGTTTTTACGAACCTCACCAGTAGGAACTTCGCTCTATGGAGTCGGCCATTATTTGCAAGAAGATAGATCAGGTAACAAAATTTTAAAAATTTATGTATGGAGTTTAAACTTGCTTTTAGGATTGTTTAGGCAATTTGATTTTGGACCAAAGGAAAATTTAAAAAGATACAATGCAACTCTTCCTCCAGAGTATAATCTAAATTATTCTACAGCTCCAGCATATTTAATATACTCTGAGAATGATTGGTTTGCATCGAAAAGGGTAAAATAAATAATGAATATGGGTCATTCCACCAAATAATTTTATTTGGTGGTATGACCCATATACATTCTTTTTAGTTCAGGAACGTATTTAAAACATTTAAGAGGTCTAAAAAGTTAGTTCTGACTCTGATATATTTTTTGTTTCAGTCTGTTGATTACCTGACGAAAAAATTACCAAATGTTGTGGATAAGTACAAGATCCCGAAAAAAGTTTTTAACCATTTAGATTACCTTACTGCACCCGATGTACGACAGCTAGTATACGAACCAACCATACAATTTCTAAAAGAATATTTTAATATTACATAGTTTTAATGCCTACGTCAAAAATAAAAAATGTGCCAACGAACTGTAGGTAATTAATTAAATTAATTAATTCACCCTGAATTTTATTAGATGCTGTTTAATGTCCTAATATATAACAATGAAATACTATAGCATTAACGGCTGTTTGACATTGAAAGTAATTTATGGTAATACTATTTTTTTCGTAATATTTTCAGTAGCGTAACAAAAGTGCGTAATTCAAATTCAATATTTATAGCAACTAATTATCACTAACAGTCAGGGTCATTTTATAAATAAAATTAAATTAAGTTACAATTAGTGTTTTCTTTATTAACCTATTTTAAAAAATTTTTACATGTAGGTAAATTCATTAATTTATTATCTTTTATACTAAAATATAAATAGTCAAAAATGACTAGTTACTACAGTTATTAGTGGCTGCTTTTTCATTTATACCATGGTTAACCATGGGATACCATGGTACCCCCAACATTTATCAGCCAATTCTTATGTAAAATTGTACCCTGAATCCGAAAGTTATAAAAGTGGAACAGTTTTTGAGATATAGTCAATTCCATATTAAATGAAAAATTGACTATATCTTAAAAACTGTTCTACTATTATAACTTTTAACGACATTTTCGGATTCAGGTCCAATTATAGATGGAAATTGACTGCTAAATATTCGGGACACGAATTGCTATTGACGATAATTATTAGTGGCTGCTTTTTCGCTATGACAATTAGTCATTTTTGACTAATTCATTTTTAAAAAGTATGTAGGTACATATATGCTCATTTGTATTGGGTTGTTAAATTTCCAGCGAAAAAAACCGGTTTTTTTTTCAGAAAAATTGATTTTTCATTTTATACAAAGGGTAATACGAAAAAAATACAAAATTCAATTTTTCTAAAAAACATTAGATTTTTACGGATAATATTCGTGCACTGATATTTTAATTTTTTGTAATTTATTGATTAATGATACACTGATATCGAGAAAAAAGTGTATTTTCAACTGTGATTATAATCATGACAGATTTAGTTTTTTTTCTGTAGATAATAAAGTATATTTTATTAAAGTGTATATTTTCCAAAAAAAAAAACATTTTTGCAAGGCTTAAAAAAATTACAAAAAAAACGGTTTTCCCCAATTTTCCCCGTGTTTTTTTTTGATACTTTTAAGCCCTAGTACTGACCTTTTAATTTCGTAGGCAGCATGAAGCATTACAAATTTGGGGTGGAGTACCCCTAAATCATCCTCTTCACTTTCACTGTCAAAAACTGCTTCTATACCGAATTTAAACGGTTGTTTGTCCATTTTTAAGTAAGAAGTTTTGATTTTTACGGAAAAATTTGACAACACTGTCATTTTTAAATCCGGTAAAACAGATTTCCAACACCAACTTGATTACCACATTTTCTTATAGATGTCGCTCTATACAAATTGAATTTATTAGTAATAAATTATTTTTTATTATAATATTTATAATATTATATTAAACACTCCCTTGCAAGCTTCGCTGGTGCCTTATCAAAATGCGTTACTAAAATAAATAAATACAAAATATAAAAAAATTGCGTTTATCTAACTTGTGACATAATATACTACTTTATGTGTTTTATTTTACCTACTTACTAATTTATTTATTAGTTTTTTTAATGTTTTATTTAATTAACATATAATAACCACAATTAAACGATAAAAGAACTTGTAGTAGTTTTTTTAATGGATGTATTTTGTTTTATTATTTTAAAAAACACAACAATTTAATATAAAAAGTAAAACTTTCTTCAAAAATTCAAGTGTATTTAAAAAATGATTCAAACTATTTGTGTGACTATTTTTCTTTTCATCTTCCAGACTGATGGGATTAGCAATCACCCATTCGTTGGTGTAGGATTTGTAAGTAAAAAAATAAATAATCTTGATTCAATACCAAATTTCCTTGAAGATGGACATAGTCACCAGTCGAGGCTATCCAGCCGAAGAACACGCCATAGCAACGGAAGACGGATTCATCCTCAAAAACCACCGAATACCCCACGGGAAAAACTCCACCACCCCAAACAAACACCCTGTGATGTTTGTGGCCGGCACGAGTGCCACATCTGAGTGTTTTGTTTTGATGGAGGAAGACGAGTCGCTCGGTTACGTTCTGGCCAATAATGGATACGACGTTTGGTTCATGAATTACAGGGGTTCAGTTTATGGGATGGAGCACCAGAGGTTAAATGGGGACAGGGATAGAGAGTTTTGGGACTACAGGTAAAAGAATCTGGTGGTATCCAAAACTGTTTTTTTCTATGCCTATCAGAAACCAAAATTTCTCTAATGATGTTTTTACCAGACGAGAAAAAGATAAGTACCTATACATTTAATTTTCAATAAAATCATTTCTAGTTTACATGAATATGGCTACTACGATGTTACAGCTTCATTGGATTATATTCTAAACGTTACCAAAAAAGAGAAGGTTACAGTTATTGGCCATTCGCAGGGATCAACAGTACTCCTGATTTCTTTATCTACAAGATTAGAAAACAATAACAAAGTCAATTTAAATGTGAATTTGGCTCCTTCGGCTTTCCTAGGGAAACCAACAGTTCCTCTACTACAATTTTTGGCCAGCAATGTACAATTTTTAGAGGTAATGTTTGTATGTTAAAACTTAGGATGGCCCATACTGATTAAAATACCAATTATAGTATATGGTAAGAGATGTTCTGAATATTCACTATTTTCCCTCTTCAAGGGGTATATTGAAAGATCTCGATAAGATTTGTGCAAGTTATAAAATGTTTCAAGAGCTATGCTTCCATCTAGTGGCACAAATTGACTTTGGTGTGGATGAGAAAAAAATGTTCAATATGGTAAAAATCAGACAGTTTAAGATTTTTTTATAAACTTTGCTTTTTAGTCTTTGATTCCTGCAATTTTAACCAATATGCCTGGTGGAGTATCCACCAAAGCCTTGTTTCATTATGCACAATTGATCAAAGCAGGTAAAAACATTTAAATGAAAAACCTCTTATTATAATCTAAAATAATCTACAGGAATTTTTTTCTTTAGATAAGTTCCAACAATACAACTACGGTGCAGAGGGGAACATGAAAATGTATGGAAAAATGTCTCCTCCAATATACGATGTTAAGAAAATAACTGTACCGGTAGCCCTCTTCTTCAGCCATTATGATGCAATATTGCCTGTTAGGGTATATTACATTTTTTACAATATTTGTGAAATTAGCACAAAATATTTTTTATAGCAGTTTAGAATTCGTATTTCCTATTTGGAAAAAAAAATATTTAAAAAACGCTCGATTTTTTGAGAATGTTCATTATCTACAAAAAATGGACAACCTCAAAATTCAATTGTGAGAACAAAAAATATTTTGGTGCTTTCACGAATATTATGAATAATCCATGCGTTGTTTCAGGGGATTAAAATTCTAAACAACACCCTTCCAGATTCAACCACCTACGAAATAAACGATCCAAATTTTAGACACATTACTTATATATTTAGCAAGTATGTAAAAGTGATATATCCGATTTTATTGCCTGTTTTGGCTAAATATAACCCTTAATTATATCGATTTTTTGTTTTATAAAACCATTTATATCCTGAACTTTTTTCATGAAAAAGGAAAACTTTGGTTATTCCCTCGGGTCTACTGGGGTTCGAAAGAATTAGTCATAGACAATAGACAACCTTAAACTTATTAGTTAAGAAATCAAGTCAATATTTTGAATATTTGATGAACTTTGTTATTCTATTCGAAATATTATAATAAACGATAATTTAAATATTTGTATACAGCGACATCTATTGAAAAATAGAGTAACCAAAATTGGTGTCAGGAATCTGTTTTAACGGCTTTTAAAATGTTAGTTTGCCAAATACAAATGTGCATATGAACCCTTCAAAGATTGGCGTGAAATACTTTGTATTAAGATAATAAAATAATATGTCCCCTGGTGCTAACCTTAGCCCGTGGCTAAAACGCCATAAAGTCATATATGCCAATATTATTTTATTAATTATTATTAATTACAAGAATAATGTACTTCATCAGGAATCTTATTAAGTAATTACAAGCACATACATATACATTTAAAACGACAATATATAATTTAAAGTTAAGTGACTTTAAATTAACTAATTAATTTCCCAACATTGCAATATAATCATTTATAAAATTTTTTGTGAAATAATTGTTTATGCGGTTGTGTAATAATAAGATATGAATTTAGTGGTGCCAGGAATAATACTATTTATCAGTATATCTGGATCGAAAGGTTACCAAGGAAACTATGGACTTCCTTTTGTAAGTTTAAAACATACAAAAATAGAAAATATATTAACAAAATTTGCAATGTTATTACAACCCATGTAGGGCAAAACCAAGGGCCCAATATTGGCCCAGGCTTGGCCCAATTCTACCCAACTATGACCCAAGCTTTGAAGCCTAAAAGAAACAAGGTTGAGTGAGTCTCCAAATGATAATTTGGGACAAGACTTTTAATAAACCTCTGGGCAAAGACAATAGATTGAAGCCTGGGCAAATATTGGGTGGTAACGCCAGGTCTTGAAAGTCTGACTGAAGCTAGGTCAGAGACTTTAAAGGCAAGACTCGGTTTTGAAAGCCTGGTCGTAGACTTGAAAGCCAAGACTTGGTCTGGAAAGTCTGGCTTAAGCTGGAGGTCAAGACTTAATTTAACAAAACTTTTTAGGTGGAAGCTGCAGCTATGGATGGTTACGTAGCCGAAAATCATGAAGTAACCACAGATGATGGGTACATACTTGGAATACATAGGTTACCGTATAAAAAAAATTCCACAGTGGTCAACAAAAACCCAGTATTAATTGTACCAGGGCTTACAGGGACGTCTGACTGCTTCATACTTTTAAGGGAAAATGGCTCTTTAGCCTACACTTTGGTAGATCAAGGGTACGACGTGTGGTTGCCGAATCCTAGAGGAAATAAGCATAGCAACAAGCATGTGAGGTTTGATCACAAAGTGGATAGAGCATATTGGGAATACACGTAATATTTTTTGCTAAAGCAAAATAAAAAAGATTTCTGTTTTAAAATTGTTGACAAACTATGTTTTAGCATGCTAGAGATGGGTTACTATGATATGGCATCCACAGTAGACTACATAACCAATGTAACCAAAAAAGACAAAATCACAGGGATCGGTCATTCGCAAGGCAACACTCTGTTGTTTATATTATTAGCATCAAGACCTGAATACAACGAAAAGTTCAATTTATTTGTAGCCCTTGCACCTTCTATATACCTCAACAGCTCAGACATAGAATTTTTTAATGCCATTGGACCGTACCTACAAATTTTGGATGTAATTTTTTTTTTATTGTTTTAATTTGTTTTTAATTTTTTGTTTTCAGTATTTTTTGAGAGATTTTTTGGGCCTCTATAGTATTCCTGATATTGATGGGTTGGATGTTTTTTGTAGAGCACTCCCGGGTATTCAAGCATTTTGTAGTTCTCTCGTAGGCTTTATTGATTTTGGTATAAATATTGAAAAAATATATGATACTGTAAGTAACTGAGTTACCCTTCGCTTCTGAAGATGCCAACATCATTGGCGAAAAGCTTTAAGCACTTTGTGTTTTGTTTTGGTGTTGGGGAATATTTCTAATATTTGTTTAAGTTAACTGTTGCCTAATACTATATAAAAAAAAAATTAAATATTATATTTTTAGGATATATTTCCAATGGTCTTGAGTCACATGCCATCTGGAATTAATATTAAAGTTGTGCTACATTATCTTCAATTAATAGATCGAGGTAATATTTTTTAAAGTGGGATTGCTACTTAGTTTTTATACAGGGTGATGAAGATGCCAAATTTAAAGATAAAAAATTTCTAGATAATAGTGTAATGCAAAAAAGCTCTCGCCTAGGTTAAACGAAGGAGACGATAGAATATTGTTGTCTTGAAACTTGAAATATTTTGTCCAAATGTGTTCACTAACCTTTCAAAAAGGAATGTCATACTTCAGGACCCCAATGTTTTAAAGTAAAAATTAAACAACTAGAGCCTGAACTATGAACGGGAAATTCGTGTGCAACTTCCTTTATGCTCTTCCTACTATTGGCATCAAGGGCATTGAAAATAGCTTCTTTATTTTTCGCTGTTCTAATACGTTGAGGGGAGCTGTATATAAAATATTGTCATTTAAGAACAGCACTTTTAAGTATAAAATAAAAAAATCCATGTCATTTCTTTAGGTGAATTTTATTCATATGATTATGGAGATATAGGCAACATGAGGCGTTATGGGACTGCAGTACCTCCATTACATAGCATAAAAAATATTTCCGTACCAGTGGCGTTATTCTACAGCCACTATGACATGTTAATTCCTTTAAGTGTAAGTTATTACTTTGACAATACAGTTTGGTGAATTATTCATATAATTTTAATTTTTCAGGGTATCGATAGATTAGCCAACGATCTACAAAACCCAATACTCTTCGCCATTCAAAACAGAAACTACAAACATTTGTTTTATTTATTTAGCAAAGATGTTAAAAAACTACATCCGACATTGTTAAAAGTCATTAAAGAACATAACAGTTATTAAGATTTTTATTGTATGCCTTATTTTAAGTATACTACTTTTTAACGCCAAATTGATAGGTGCCTATCAATCTATTTATTAAGTTATTAATGGGTGATTCTGCAAAAGATGGGCAACCTCATTAGTTTATATAGTTTTCGGAGAAAATTAAACAGTATTTTGTTATGAGAACATAGATAATATAATAAATATACTGTTCCAAACCGGGCCAGTCACTTTTTCAAACAGTTTCTGAAATATCTGTGTTTTCTAAATTTGAATGCAAGGGAAGTGACGAGTATACCAGGGTACTAATTAAATACATAATTTATTGAAAAATATAAGTTTTATTGCAACTTTGAGCATATTATACATTAAATATCTTAAAATCAAATAATACCACACATCAGTGGCGGCTGGTGGATTTTGGGTATACCGATATCTCAGTTATTAGATATGGGACCCACACCAAATTTATATGAGTTTATAATGACATTAAATAAACAAGTTCTGCGCAAGCAGAATTTAAATTGAAGTTTGGGAAAAACATCGAATATGGAACTGACGACACGGTACTGATGAATGGGATACAAATTTGATATTATAATTCGGAATTAAGTATTTTACTGATATTTTTATTAGTGGATGCTACTTATCAACAAATGACATATAGCCTTATATGAATTACAATGAAATATATACGCAATAAATTGCAAAAAAAATAAAACAATTTCTGCGTACGCCCCTGCACAATACCTACCAATACTGCACCTAGCAAGAAGTATTAAGTCATTAAAAGTAATAAAAAAACAATAAAAGCCAATAATTTAAGTAATGTGCCAATAAATAATATAATTTATTACATTATAATGGTATACCATTGAGATAATCATTCTAATAACTACAAATAAAATAATTATTTTGGCAGTAGTAGTGTTAAAACAAGATATGAATTTAGTGGTGCCAGGAATAATATTGTTTTTCAGTATATCTGGATCGGAAGGGTACCAAGGGAACTATGGACTTCCTTTTGTAAGTTTAATACTTAAAAATTACAAAATACCTATTTTACCAAAATTTGCAATTTTCTAAAATAGAATTAAACTTTTTAATTTAACAAATCTTTTTCAGGTGGAAGCTGCGGCTTTGGATGGTTACCTAGCCGAAAATCATGAGGTAACCACAGATGATGGGTACATACTTGGAATACATAGGTTACCGTATAAAAAAAATTCCACAGTGGTCAACAAAAACCCAGTATTAATTGTACCAGGGCTTACAGGGACGTCTGACTGCTTCATACTTTTAAGGGAAAATGGCTCTTTAGCCTACACTTTGGTAGATCAAGGGTACGACGTGTGGTTGCCGAATCCTAGAGGAAATAAGCATAGCAACAAGCATGTGAAGTTTGATTACAAAGTGGATAGAGCATATTGGGAATACACGTAATATTTTTTGCTAAAGCAAAATAAAAAAAGATTTCTGTTTTAAAATTGTTGACGAACTATTTTTTAGCATGCTAGAGATGGGTTACTATGATATGGCATCCACAGTAGACTACATAACCAATGTAACCAAAAAAGACAAAGTCACAGGCATCGGTCATTCCCAAGGCAACACGCTGTTGTTTATATTATTAGCATCAAGACCTGAATACAACGAAAAGTTAAACTTACTCGTGGCCCTCGCACCTTCTATTTACCTTAACGATTCGGACATATCGTTGCTTACGATCATGGGACCTTACTTTAATTTCTTCGATGTAAGTTTATTTAATGCTCTTATGTTTTTTTTATTCATATTTTTTAGTATTTTCTTAGAGATTTTCTTGGCCTTTATAGTATTCCTGATCTTAAAGGGTTAGATGTTTTATGTAGAGCAACCCCAGGTATTAAGTTTTTCTGTGGATATCTTATCCATGGCATTGATTTGGGTGCAAATGTTGAGAAAATATATGATTCTGTAAGTAAAGGTTTATAAGCAGCATTGTATTCACCAAACTAGTGTCTTAAGAAGTTTACTTTGACTTTTTTTCAATATTAACTTTTAAATCTTATCCAGTTGACGATGTGAATTTTCACCCACGGGTCAAACTTAAGAGCACTCTCTATTCCATGGATAAACATGAAATACCATGGTATCCCAAAAGTAAACAGCAAATTCTTATGTAAAATTGTCTCCTGAATCCGAAAATAATGTCAAAATTATGATTGTGGAGCAGTTTTTGAGATATAGTCAATTCCATATTAAATGGAAAATTGACTATATCTCAAAAACTGATTTACTTTTTTAACTTTTGACGACATTTTCGGATTCAGGGGACAATTTTACATAAGAATTGGCTGTTAAATTTTGGAATACCATGGTATTACATGGTTAACCATAGTACAAGTGAAAAAGCAGCCACTAATAACTATTAAATTGGTCATTTTGACTAATTCATGTTTAGAGAGTATATTATATTATTTTTATAAAAAATAATTTATTTTTAGGATATATTTCCAATAGTCTTAAGTCATATGCCATCTGGAATTAATGTTAAAGTTGCGTTACATTATCTTCAATTAGCACATAAAGGTAAAGTTTGTTATAAAGTTTTTGGAATTGTTAATTAGCAATTTATTGTATACAAATACAAAAAGGCTTATAGGGTTATAGTCCAGTCAATTAAGGTATTAAGTAAATACGGTAAATTTGCTTAGAACTTTTTTTGACATTCTGTAGTCCAACATAAATTGAGGCCTGTCAGAGACTAAAACTGAGTAAATTTAGATAATTGATTTTGGTATTTTAAATTCTAGATTTGTAATTTTTTTATATATATTATATTGAAATATTGTTGTTGTTAGTCTAGTAGCAAACTACAAGGTCTCCAGGATGCATAGTATAGGTGAAATTATAATTGCTGGAGATTGCTCATTTTGTTGTAAACGTTTAAGGAGATTTAGAAAAATAAACAAAAGAATAATTGTATTTTTTTCCTTTAATGGTTATAAAATTTGACTATACAATCAATGTGGGAAAATTCTGAACTGTACTACATAAATCTGGAGTTTCTTCTAAATCTGGGACCAGGTTGCCTCGTGCAAAAAAGTTTTTATAGTACAACAACTCATCATCTTCTTCCCACTTTGCCCCGTAATGTTTTTCTTGCAATGTTTTGACATTATCAGCCTTTTCTTGCTTTACCTTTACGTCTTATTATGGTATAATAGGACAAAATAAACAAGATAACTTTTTTTATAATTCTTAAAACAATAAAACGTATATATACACTGAAAGAAATATATGTTTGTTTTAGCAATGTATGTGGTAGTCTATATATGAAACATAAAATATATTTACCTTAACCATTTTTATATTTAGTTTTAACATATTATGTTAAAACTAAATATAATATATGTTTGTTTTAGCAATGTATGTGGTAGTCCATATATGAACCACATACATTTGCTAAAACAAACATATATTTCTTTCAGTGTACCTATTTTAAATATATTGTTAAGTGCAATTTACTGCATAGAACTTAACAGTATGTACCAGTAAAAAAACAAAAAATTAAATCTCTAAAATACGTTATAACATCAAATGTTAGGATATCAGGTGACACAAATTACTAATTTCTAATGGTGGAATTGGAGATTTGCTGCAAATCTATCAGTGGAGATTGTCGAACTTGCACTAAATGTCATTTTTAAAATAGGATTTTAGGTAGGATTTAGCTCCTTTTGCAGCACATAAACTTTATCATCTTATAGATAATTAGTTGAAGTAGTCTCCGCCAAAAATCTAATTTTTGACCAAAAGTGGAGATTATCGGTTTTGCTATGACAGGCCTCAATTACGTTTTAATTTATTAAACGTCACCATTTTAGAATGTTAAAAGAAAGATATACACACATTTTCTGAGGGACTATTTATCATAGTATTCTATAAAAAATGATTTGTCCCCAGGTGAGTTTCATTCATATGATTATGGAGTAAGGGGTAACTTGAAACATTATGGAACACAAATAGCTCCATTACATGACATGAGGAAAATTTCTGCCCCGGTGGCCTTATTTTATAGCCACTATGACAACATAATACCTTTAAGTGTAAGTATTATTACTATTATTAAATATATTTTTTTTTAAATGTCTTATATATATATATATTTCAGGCTATTAGTAGACTGGCCAACGATCTACAAAACCCAATATTATTCGAAATACGAAACAGGGACTACAAACATTTGTTTTATTTATTTAGTAAAGATGTTAAAAAATTGCACCCCACATTGTTAAAAGTTATTAAAGATCATAACAATTATCGACTTGTTTAATTTTTTAAGATAAATTTTTGGAAATCATGTATTGATTTTATCGAAAATATAAAACGCTTTAATAGTAGAGACGTGTGAAAATATTGGCTTGTTTGTCCGTAGCGTAAGGAATGAGTGGCTGAGCATAAGTAAGAGAGAGGGATAGAAATACGACAAGCATGCGATATTATTTATCATTATGACGAATTTGGCAAACAAAAGCATAAATTATGTTCAGACAAACAATATTATTCACCAACATAAACAGGAAGTTAAACTGTTCAAAATGTCATGACCATTTTAACATCAAATTAACACCTTACATGGTCTATATCGATACAAACCAAAATGGTGTTAAATATGGTTCGTTGGTCTAGTGTAAATTCAAATACTAAAATAGTGTAAATTTAACTTTAACACAGTATTAAAATAAAATTTACCTGGTGTAAATTGAACTCCTTTTCAGTGTTAAATATTATGTGTTTTTGGTCAAATTAAATCATACTACACAGAAAAAAAGGAAAAAAAAAGGAAACAGGAAGTTCCTTGACGCATTACTAGTATATAACCAGTGGTATTATTCCAGAAAATTGAACCTTCACCTCGCTAGAGATAATGTTATTAGTGCGTTCCACCAACTTAAAATACTTCAATTATTGACAGCTGTTTTCACCTATTTAAGGAAAAATAAAATAACTATATGGTTTAGTACCGTCAAACTAATCTTTGTTTAAATTAACCTTCCCACAGTTGATTTAAATAAATACTTTTGGGCCAACTAAATTAATATAGTTTAATGAACTATTCCTTTTTTTCTGTGTAGGTGCACTTCTCAAATATTGACGCCTTTTTGGTGTTTGCTGTATACATATATATAACATTTTCAACCATAATTTATGGTGTTTATAATAGCACCACTTGGTGTTGGATTTTGACACCATTTAAGATTACTCTTTACAACACAGATATTTTAAACAGTGTACCTAGTCTTTAAACTTCACACCGACCCTGTTCTACCCCACTCCCTTGTCTACCAGAAAATCTTGTAAAGCAACATTGCATCCATTATTTTCAACCTTATAAATTGTTTGCGCCTTTTTTAATAGATAATGTGTGATAAGCAGTGGCGGAACCGCAAAATAAAATACCTCCTAGTCTGCTCTGGATACAAAAGTCCGCCAATGAGTACGAGCACTTAATTCAATTAATATGTTTTACATTATAAAAAGGTTATTATATGTGAAAACGAAAGTTAACCACTTAACAATTTAATGAATAAACATTGCATGCTTTTTTGATACCATGGAGATTCATATTGCAATAATATTTCTAATTTTTGGATTACAAAAATTAAAAGCTGAGATTATAAATTATCGACTTCCATTTGTAAGTATTTTTAATTTTTCCCCATAAAGTTCCTGTAATTTTATTTCACATTTTATCTGCTTGAAAAACCCTTTAGTATCAAGTAACTTTTTTTGAGGTTAAAGCTGCTGCCCTGGATGGTTACAAAGCCGAAACTCATCAGGTAACCACGGACGATGGTTACATCCTCACCATGCACAGAATTCCGTCTGCCAAAAACTCCTCAAAAATCAACAAATACCCTGTTTTTATGGTGCCTGGTATGACAGCGGTTTCAGATTGTTTCATACTGCTTGGAAATGCATCCATTGCTTACACCCTCGTGGAGAATGGATACGATGTATGGCTTACCAACCCTAGAGGCAATAAGCATAGTCAAAAGCATGTTAAATATAATGCGATGGAAGATAAGGAATACTGGAATTATACGTAAAAATAATGGGTTTTCCAACACAAACTTAATCTTTGAAAATTAAACCACAATCTAGATTTATAAATAATTGCTCAAATGATCAAAATTAAAGTTACTGTTGGGACACACTTAACTTTATTAGTGCCTAAAAACTGGGCTAAGCTAAGCATGTTCTAGCATTCACGAAATGGGCCACTATGATATAGCCTCTTTTGTGGATTACATAAGGAATGTAACTAAGAAGGACAAAATAAGTGGGATGGGTCACTCACAAGGAACCACTTTAATATTTTTATTGTTATCCTCGAGACCAGATTACAACGATAAGCTTAATATATTTGTAGCTTTGGCCCCATCCGTCTACTTAAACGATTCGTTGATTTCAGTGATGAAAATTGTCGGAAAATATTCCAATTTTTTTGACGTAAGTTAGTAGATATCAGTAAAAAGATTTTTTTTGTAAATTCAGGCAATTTTGTTAATTTAGTCCTGATGACTTGGGTACGATAATATTGTATATGTACACTGTTAAAAATGTTTGTAAAATTACTACATTTTTACTAAGCAGTTGCATAGTAAAATTACAAAATGTTGTATTGTAATGCAATTTTAATGCGCATTTGTTGTAATATTACATTTTGTTATAGCCAAAGTACTAAACAGGTTCCAATTTTAAAATGTTTTTGTCAGATACTTATAGTAATTTTACAATTCTGTATTGTAGAATTGAATTTGAAATTTTGTAAAATTTCTATACATATTTGGAATTAAATTTTACTAAGATAATCAATAAAATTACTAACAAAAATTTGCTATTTGAATTACAATAAGTGTTTGAAAATATACAAATCATTATTTATTTTATACAACTTGTTTGCATTTTTTACTATATATCATTTTAATCATGTACACTGTTAAAATTTTTTTTGTAAAATTACAATTGTTTTGCAAAACAAAGGATGAGTAAAATTACAAATCAGTGTATCAATACAAAATTATAATACAATTTGAGTAAGACATGTTGGGAAATCTACTAAGATAAGTTGTAATTTTACTAAACAGTTTGACAGTTTCTAATAATAATCACGTTGTTTATAATTTGATGTGCTATAATGTTATGTAAAATGCATAGTATGTACCGATTCGGCAATCACGTGATGTTCCTACATCTCGCCTGGGTTGTCTTAGGTGGACAGCTCAGGTGTTTTTCGTTTTTGGTGTGTTCCAATACACCAAATTGCTCGACATTGATAAGACCCAAAATAGGTCTATCTGTCTAGCTGTCTATCGGTATTTAAAGTTGGTGGAACGCACTTAAAACAAAAACTCTGGCGAGGTGAAGGTTCAATTTTTTAATGGGTTCTTGAAGAAACTAAAAAAATTGCAGGTTTTTTTTCGTAGTTTGATTACAATACCATCATTCGTAAATTACTAAATATGTTTAGTGTAATTTGTTGTACAAAATAAAAATATTTGTATTGTAATATTGCGAAACGAATTTTTTTCAGTTCATTGAAATTGTAAAATGTATTTTGTAATTTTCTTAAACTGAATTGAAATGAATTGTATAGCATAATTACAATACCTGTATAGTAATGTTGATGAGCAAATTTGTAATAAATGCTTAGTGAATTTCAACTAAAGTTTTGTAATTTTCCCAAATTGAGTTTTAATGAATCGTGTAGTGAACTTACAAAACTGAGTTTTATTATTACTATACTGTGGTGCATAATAACTTCCTAAAGATGTTTAGTAAAATTAGAATAGAAGTTTTTAACAGTGTAATATGTGTATTAGCAAAATTTTGGCCCTATTCTTATCTTATAGACCATTATTTTTAGCACATGATTCGGGAAGTTTTAAACATACATTTCCTTCCACGATCGTTGTTCGAGGGGATGGAAACTGTGTGCAATAGTGGACCAGCCTTTTTTAGTTTATGTCGCGCTTTAATAGCAGGCTTTTGTGACAACTTGGACTATGGTGTCAATTTAGATAGAATTTACGATTTTGTAGATCTTATTAATATTAATTTAATGAACCAAATGTATTAACACGTATTTTTAGAAAATTTTTAATTTAGCATTTAGTCACATGCCGTCAGAATTATGTATTAAAATGGTAATGCATTATTTCCAAATGATTGATTCAGGTAATGTTTACTACTAAAGGGCTTACGAAGAACGTGACATAAAAATAATTCAGACCAATCGGGTAGAAAGTGAGGTTAGATAGATCTGACAGTTATCGAATTTTTTCATTGGTCCAAACGGGTTTTTTACATCCCAGGGGTTAAACAACTTTACCCAATTGGTCTACATTATTTTTACAACCTAGACGATAATATATATTACTTTAGTAGCGAGTGTTGAAAAAAATAAAGTAGAACCCTTTTTAGGTAATTTTTGCAAATTTGATTATGGCCAACTACAAAATACTCAAATGTATGGATCATCGACGCCTCCTAGATATGATATCAAAAAAATTACAATACCGGTTGGATTAATATTTGCGAGACATGACCTTCTAATCCCGTTATCTGTATATTATATAAAACATATTTTTGCATATTATGTAATTCATCATTTTTAGGGAGTGCACAGGATTAGCAAGGAGCTAAAAAATCCTATTCCGTATGAAATGAAGAATAAAAATTACAGGCATGTTTTTTACTTGTTCAGTAAACATGTCAAGAAGATTTATCCATTTTTGTTAAGAATATTGAGGGAGAACACCCTTATGGAGTAATAATAAAGAAAATTATAATAATTTAAAGAAATATTAACATCAATTAAATTATTTAAATAAATACATAATAAAATATGTTTGTTTTTTACTTATAACCTACCTACAAGTAATTTACTATAAAAGAAATAAATTTGCTATGAAAAATAGTAAAACTCAAAAAAACAATAAATAAAAAAAATTTTTAAAACAAGCAACAAAGAGGTTTTAAAGAAATACTATAGGTAATACGTCATCTTGGTTCGGCGGCCATTTAAAAAAATCACCATATTGAGTATACTAGATTTTATTGCCATCAGCACCAGAGGTGTGTGCAAAATTTCAGCCTGGAAGTGGTTTAAAATTCTGTTGCAAAATTTGAAGGCTATTGGTTGTTTTTCTGAGCGTGTCACTCAAAAAACCAAATGATGGACCAATTAAAGCGATAAGGTGCATGTAAACCAATAAATATTACGCATACATGCATGTAATTAACAGAAATGAGCGTCGGATAAAATCGACGGTGGGAGATTTAAGCAAATGATGTTAAATAAGGTTTTGACATTGAATACCGCCAGTCGAAATAGGATGTTCCCAATTTATTGTTTATAAATATAATACTTATACATAAATGAGTTAGTGAAAAAAGTACAAACATAGAATATTAATATGATTTGGAGTTGCGTATTTTTTGGTTACATTTTAGGATGCTTGGGCACTGCTGATGTAAAAATAGACGTTACATTGAATGGATTTTCAATTGTAAGTAAAATTAAAAAAAAATTAACATATTCTTCAGTCAATATGCGTCATGTTCCATGGAAAAATGCAAAATTTATATACATAATTTTGTATTTTTATAATTGCAAAAAAATCAAGTATTTGCAATTTTACCATTTATAGCACATTGATTGGTCAATAGACATTTTGCTGGAGGGTAAATCAGGAAAAGTTCCTATCATTTGTATATCCTGTTAGAGAATTAATTTTTTTTATATTTCCTATTGTAAATTTTACCAAATCATTTATTTAAACCTTGAACCTAAAATTGGCAAAAGCGCAATTTTGGAGGCTATAATTATCTATTTTATTTATTTATGGTAATTTCGAATTAAATTACACTAATCAACAACAAAAAATACACAATAATTATGTATGTCATAAGGCTGAGAAGTAATTTTTTAAGAACATAAATATAAACACAACATGATTTACCTATTGAGGGTTATACGAACTCAGGTGTGAAGGAAATAAACTAGGAAATACCCAATTCTGTATGCACGCGGTATTAGTTTATATTCAAGGATCTTTATGAATAAAATATTGGATTAATATATCTAATAAACCATAAACAACGATTTTTTATTTGTAAATTATTATAACAATAGCAAATTGTTTGCAACCTTTGTTAAAAATTGCCATAACACAATTAACACAAATACTTATGTCTTTCTTACGCATCAATGACACATATTCCTAAAAGCGGTTTTATGTAAATAATGCACACTTTATTTTTACCTTTAAGAAACATATATTACTACATAATTAAACAATTAGAAATGTTGATAATTTGAAGTATTTTTCATTTTATTTCGATTCTTGCGTAGATATCTAGAGGTACATTACGTAAAACAGGTTTTTAGAAAAAATATATAAATTTCAATTGTTTATTTAAGGACAATGCACACAATTATGTAAAAAATAACTTTAAACGACCTTTGACATTAAATATTCAATAATTTCATTTATTATAATTATGGGTAAATACCTAAAACGTCATATTAAAATGGTATTAAAAAGTTGAACATAATTTTGTTAATTTAAATAATTTATTTAATGTTTTATTGCTTACAAAAAAATGACTATTTTTATTTTTTGTAAAAGACTTTTAACCCTTTAGCAAATGATAACGTTTTAATGTAAAATAATGCTATGCTTCTTTACCCCTGATAGCAAAATTTGATTTTAAGAATCTTCTAAGAAAATATGACCGGAATAATGGAATATTCTTAGAAGCTTCCCTTATTGCTAAGAATGTTCTTAGGGACTTTTAAAACATTCAAGAGATACCCTTTTAATGATGCAATTAGATTCTTAAAAGCTTCTTAAAACCTTCTTAAAAAGCATCCCAGGAACATTGTAAGAATACGTTTTTAGAATGTTTCTTATGGAGCTTCTAGGAAGCTTTTGAGAATATTCCCAAATATGTCAGATGCGCACGTTTTAATATGTTGTATTCTACATTCGTAAAATTCTTCAGGAGACGACAAATAGGCCTCACTGTCATAATATGACAGTGAAATGTATTTGTCGTTCCCTTAAAAAAAATTGCGACATATTAATTTATTTATTTAAAAATATTAAATAAACAATTTGACCTCTAAACCATAAGTTGTATGACATTATTTCATAAAAAGTAAAATTGGAAAATTTTATGGGATAAGTCAGATTAGATTGAAGTTGGAGATAGTTACGATTATTATACATAAAAATGTTAATTCAGAAATAAAAAATCGGTATACAAATTAATAAATATTTAATTTTAACATAAAATAAAATACCTATAGTAAAAATATTTTTGTTATCGAATATTGTTTTAATTTGAAAATTAACTATAAACAAATATTTTGGATTGTGTTTTTTACTTAGTATTTAGTAATAATTACTAATTAGGTACTTAAGTATGGGTATAAGTATACCTTTATACGTAGTTTATGGTATATTTTACTATTATATACATAGGTAACTGAACTAAATATGCTTAACAGGAATATTCCTAAATGAACTTTCTATAGCAATTACTTTCTTAACATTCTAAGCATATGTTTAGAGTAGACTAATTTTTACCACTAAAACTTTGCACCTTCTAAGAACCTGCCTATAGGCCAGTAAGAATATTCTTAGGATCATGCTATATTTCTTTTAAGCATAAGAAATATAGCATGATCCTAAAAATATTCTCACTGGAAGGTTTAAAAAACATTCTTAGATTAAAGTGTGCTATAATGGACAGACCTGGGAGACTCCCAGTGGGAGTATCTTTAAAAAAAAGATACTTAAAAGTAACTTACATACTTAAAGTATCTAAGATACTTTTTATATTGGACAGAAAGGACCTATCTATAACTTGGATACTTTGAAAAAGTATACTTTTTCAAAGTATCCAAGTTATATACAGTGCTTGCAAATCCAAGTCCGACCGCGTTGGGAAGGATGGTTGTTCAATACCCGCGTGAAAAGAATAAGGATAGAATGCCAAACATAATTTGATTGGTCAGAGCGTCAGGCCTGCGTATTGTATTTGCCTTCTGTTTGGCGTTCTATCCTTGTTATTTTCATGCGTCCTTCCCAAACCGGTCGGACTTGGATTTGCAAGCACTGTATAAACATATACATATATACATATACATAAACCTTCTAGCAAAATATAAATGTTGTAGTAGCAAAAGTTTTCGCTATCGCCATTTTAACATATAATATTTGTAATCATTACTATTTTTGTGTAATAAGGAGCAATGCGTTTCTTTCAGTGTATCTTCTAACTTTAGTAAAGTAAAGTATTTTAGATACTTTGGGATAGTATCTGAGATACTTTCTAAAGTATCTTGTAACTAAAGATTCTTTCAACTCAAAGTATCTATTTACCCGAGGTAACTAAGTTATTTTGTTTAAAGTATCTTGGAAAAGTATCTAGATACTTTTCAGAAGTAACTTTCCCAGCTCTGCTTCTTTAGCGTATATACCGTTGAGCGAAGAAGTATTAATAAATGGTATAAACACTAATCATTGTCAATGTGAATACAGACCCAGTTTATATCCGAACGCGGATACCCAGTGGAGGCGCACGTCGACATTGAAACCGAAGACGGATATCTTCTGGATATGTTCAGAATCCCGCACGGAGTACAAGAAAACAACGCGACCGACAACAAAAGCAGACCTGCCGCTCTTCTAATGCACGGGCTAATGGGATCAGCTGAGAATTTTGTCATCTTAGGACCCGATAAAAGTCTGGCCTTCCTGCTGGCCGACGCTGGTTATGACGTATGGTTGGGAAACGCCAGAGGAACCACGCACTCCAGAAAACACAATACCTTGAACCCCGATTATGACAAGGAGTTTTGGGACTTCAGGTGACTCAAATTTTATTCATTAAATAGTTATCAACCCGATTCACAGAACTGCTTCTCATTGGCTTGATTTGGCAGTTCAGGAATTCAAGATTGTAATTTGAGTTTCTTCTAAACGAACTTATCATGATGAAATTTTATCGTATATAATATCACAAGAGAACAAATTTTCTCGATTTTTATGTAAGAATGTCATATTCTCGCACGCAAAATCGTTGAAGAATGAAGCTCATTCTTAAACGATTTTTGGTAACATTTAGTTTTTAAGTATTGGTACCCCCAAAATGTCAAACTGATTAATAACCTCAAATTCATTACTTTTATTGAAAATGAAGCCTTTATTATTGTTTTGTAATATAAAGTTTGCTCCAACAATGCATTTTAATGCAAAATTTTAAGTTTAAAGTGTAAAAGTGCAGTTCAGGTTGTACTTGTGCAGGATAACAAATATTGTCATTTTGTGTTGCCAACTGACATTTTGCGAGAAAAATCCCCTAACTAACAACGACCACAAAACAATTAAAAAAACCTAAATAAAAGTTAAAATCGAGAAAATAGTATAAATCACACGTTGCAGAAGGCTATTCTCGCACTCATTCGTTCGTCCACTCGCTCCTTCGTCGCTCGAGGCCAAATTTCGAATTCGTGCGAGAATATGTGGCCTTCTGCAACTTGTACTTTAATATACTATTGCCGGCAAAATTTTGGACTGGTATGAAAGTTTGTTACTTGGCAATTTTCGAGAATGAAATTTTGACAAAATCCCGAGACGTCAGTCGAGGGATTTTGTATGAGCGAAAATTTCCAAAAAGCAACAAACTTGAATGAAACCAGAAGAAAATTTTGCCGGTAAAAATTTTCTCTCGAGTGATATTCGACAGAGAAAAAACAAGACAATTAATGCATCATATTAACGAAACATGTAATCTTAATTTATTTGCTAATATTAAATGTAGGTACAATTATTATATGTTATGGTAGTTTGCCCATTCTTTTCTACCAAAGCACGATTTTGTGTATTATTGACCTGTAGCATGTGGGAACTCGAAGGTCCCTTCATTTGTTGTTCGGAGATTTTCGATCAACTTCTGGTGGTGACTAGAATCCAGCTGCAGGTATGGTTGTAGGGAGCTTTCATTTGAGTGACCCGTTAATTTAATTAACTCCTGTTTAGTAACACCTTGCTTAAACAAGGCTGACACAGCTGAAGATCGATGCGAATGGTTTGTTATTTTATGTTTTTTTGTGTCTATTCCAATTTTTTCAGCTGACATCTTTGTCCACTTAGATACGATGTTGATTCCAAGTGGACAGTTTTTGAACCAAGATCCATTCTTCCAGTTGGGGTGAACGGTAAGAAAAAGTCTGTCTGATAAAATATTTGGTCCTCTTTTTTCCATTAATTTCAAGAATAATCTAACTGGGCATAAATCTTCGTTTGATAAATTTCTTACCAACCATTTGCTGCTTGCCAAACTTTTCGACCCGCCTTGAGTTGTTTTAGAAAAAATGCTGTTGTATTCAATTCGGCCCGTAAATTCTCCCATATTATTAAATTCCTTCTGGAAAAAGTGAATCTTGCAGTTTACGGCCTCATTGCCTCTCCAAGCAAGTTTATATGAGCAGAGGTGAAAAAACTTTTTTGTGCTCCATCGGGGGTTTCTTCGTCGTAGCTTTGGATCATTTTTAAAAGTTCTTCGGATAATGCTTCGCTTGGTATCTCTGGCCAATCTTGAACATTTGAAAGATATATCCGTGAAAGGATCGATTTTTATGCCGTATTCCGTAAAATATTTTTCTTGGACCATTTTTGCAGTTGAATTCCACATAGACTTTACAGACGACTCTTTATAGTCTTCGCCATTGCATTTTTTCATATTAAAGACGTAATCTTCCAGAATTTTTGCTAGTTCCGTCGCGGTAGTACATTTTTCCAGTGTAAAATTTCTCACCCGTAGGAATTCTGAGAATTGGGTCCAAATAGAGCTTCTGGACCTCTGAGTATTTAATAGGATATTTTCCAAAACTAATTTTTTAATTTGTTCATCTGAATGGCACCCAAATCGTGAATTTGCGCATGGATTCATTATTTCACAATGACGTTTGTCAAACTGGCAACAATAGAAGTATGTGTGTAATACAACTCCATGTAAATAACACCAATAAATGATTTGATTTGATTTGATTTGATAAAACACCTTGGTGACGGATTTGTAATTATATCAAAACAACTTTAATTTTATTGTTTGTCAAACTGACAACAATAGAAGTACCAAACCATAATTTTGTCGCTGAGAAATCACGGGCAGGAGTTTTGTCAGTAGAAAACGTGCCGTTACTATGACATTTTATTACTTAAAAATAGTCTAGTGAAATAATCGTAAGTAATATCATAAGGGCATTTAATTTTTCCGAAAAGAATCGAAAAAACACGTTGCTAAGTGATATTTTAACAAAAAGCATGAGTGCTGGTGGCAACAAAAATCCGAGTCGAAGAGGAGGATTTTTGCACCTGCACGAATGCTTTTTGTTCAAAAATATTACTTAGCATTGTGTTTTTTCGATTTTTTTCACAGGAAAAATTAGATGCCCGAATGGTATTTGACAAGACTATTTCATGAGTAACAGTTAACAATTAAAATATAAATTGCAATTTTTGTTGACAACAGCTGTCAAGTTTTGCCGCGGGTAAACTCGAATAAACTGCTGACAGGTGCTGTCACACAGTTTTTTCACCTAGAAACCATTTGTAATTCAAAATTGCGCGTTTGTGATTGGTGGAAATTAAGACGAGGGAAATAGTCACAATAATAATCCTTTTTTCCTCAGTTGGCATGAGATTGGAGTGTTTGATCTGCCAGCAAAACTGGACTACATCATGAGTGAAACTAACCAAACGGAGATTTTCTACATCGGGCATTCGCAAGGAACCACATCTTTCTTCGTTATGGCGTCCGAGAGACCTGATTACAACAAGAATATCAAGTTGATGATCGCTCTAGCCCCTGTGGCTTTTATGACGAACGCACCGAACCCTGCCATACAAGCAATAGCGTTGTTTGAAAGAAGTTTATCGGTAAGATTGTAAAAAAACTGTACCCCCAATAGATGTGATTAATTCTAAATTTAATTTTAGATTGTTTCAAATTTGGTTGGGCTTAATGAATTTATTCCCAATAATGAACTGCTTAAGCTTGCCGGGCAAGCGATTTGCCTGAGAACAGCTATAACAAAGGAATTGTGTGCAAATGCAGCGTTTTTAATCGCTGGGTATGATTCAGATCAACTGGACAGGGTGAGTTAAAAGTCTCCCCTATTATCTTTTAATCAAAAAAGGTATCAAACAAATGTTAGAGATCATCCCCAACACCAAAACAAAACACAGTTTACTAAACCGTGAAACAATATCGCTTCAGTGAACACGTAAAGAGAAACTGACAAACTAATTTATACAAACTAGAGTTGGGTACCGGTGCTTTATCGCTATTTAAAGATTTATTTCTATTCTTATAGATGTAAAAACTTTTATAACTATCTAGCAGACTTGGTCCCCTAACTTACTTGATAAGTTTAAGGTTGTCAAATCTTATTCTATGAGCATCATCAAGAAACACAAGAATACAGAAAATATATTAAAAATACTTATGTTACATAAGTTATGTTACATAAGTTATGTATGTAAGAAAGTTGAGAAATAGTTTTTGCTTTTACTTAGTTTTGTACTTAACATAATGAATATATGTTCTTTTTTTAAACAAATCCTAGTGTAAATAAAACCTTAAAAGGATTATTAACAAACAAAAATTATATTTTCAAAATGATTAAGCATTTTTATATACCTAAGTTTTTTTAATATCTTAGTAAATTTGTGACCCAGGGAATCATTTTTTTCTTTTTTCTTTTTAAATGGCTTATTTAAAAAACCAACTGCCCTCTTTTAAGTGTTAAATAACACCCCTAAATAAACAAAATTTGGAAAAAACAGTTTTGTAGATTATGTTTTAGTTTTTACTTAAAAACCGAATACCTATAGGGAAACGTTTTGGGCGTGGCCTCGCCTCCCTCCAAGGCGCGTCACAGTAGCTTGTGTGATAAACGACATGACGAAAGGTCGAGCAGGTAAGACGACCTTAAAAATTAAATGATAATAATGCAAAAAATCTTATTAGCGATGCAGGCTATTTGCTTAGTTACTGTGTCGCGCGTTGGAGGGAGGCGAGGCCACGCCCCAAACGTTTCCCTATATTCGGTTTTACTCTGAACGGGCTGTATTTGTGATAATTCGTACCGCCAAAAGATAACAAGGGGTACTTTTATACCACTGTATATAACCAAAAAATGTATATCCTAAAATTTTTTTACGTTTTTTTTAGTCATATCTTCCTATAATAACGCAAACAACTCCATCTAGTTGTTCGATCAAGCAATTTGCTCATTATGGACAAGAAATAAACTCAGGTTTGTTGAATTAATAAAATTAATTTCTAATCTTTGTCAATTATGTTCTAAGGTGGTAGCTATACATATCTAGTAATAACTAATTCTACTTGTTTTTTTTTCATTTTTAGAAAGCTTACCTTCTATGACATGTAAAGCTTTAAATTGGGGTCCAGTAAAATTTGTGTTTAAAATGATAGGCGTTGGCGGTTGTACCTGGTATCATGGTTAATATTAATCACGTTATATGAATAATAATACATCTTTTTATTTATATATGTGTCTTAATATTTTGCAATACCTTTTAGGTACGTTTAAAAAATTTGATTATGGGTACAGTGGAAACCTAGAAAGATATGGGACTGATGTACCACCTTCTTATGATTTATCCCAAATCACAGCCCCCATTGCGTTGTACTACAGCACTAATGATTTGCTAACGTCTCCAAAAGTATAGAAAAAAAATATGAAAAGTATTGTTTTCATTGTCTGATTTATTTTTCAGGATGTCGAGTATCTAGCAACGAAACTTCCTAACCTAGTTTTAAAATATCTGATTCCCTACGAAAGTTTTAACCACTTGGACTTTATTGTAGCTAAAGATGTGATACCTTTATTATATGGTAGAGTTATGGATTTAATGAATGCAAATAAAATTTAAAAACATGAAACATTTTTTAATACCACACATTACCTTTACATTTAAAACTCCTTTGAACCACCACACTTCAAAATGAACATTGGAACAACAAACGCTTTTAGAAACAAAACATATCCACTAAATTTATGCTTTTTACTGTGCCCTGGCAAAAAAGATATCTTTGGAATGGCCGACAGAATCTACAAGATATATCTTCGAAGCTTCCAAGATATCGCGTTTCAGAAGTTCAGAAAATGTTTTTTATATATCTTGTACTACCTAAATTGTCTTTTCCTGTATTTACAAAGAACATCCCAAAGATATTTTGTAGCAGAGATATATTTTACCGAATTTACTGAATTTTCTTTTCCTTTAAAAATGATCGATATTGATTCATTTTGCCACTTTCTTTAGTGGCTTTGGCAGTTTTCGTAGGGTCTAAACAGCAAAATACATGTAGGATTTGCATTTCCTCTATGTGCTGTGTTGTTGACACCGTACGTATTGTATTTTGAGTTGCCTATATAACTCGATACTATCAAGGCAACATTCATATTATGATTTCATATTGTATTTTTAGTTGCCTATATAGCTCGATACTATCAAGCCAACATTCATATTATGATTTCATATTAATGGGACAAAATTCAGTAATGGGACAAAACATGTCTCTAGCTCCAAAAAACTTAAATATGAAGTTTTTGTGCAATTTACTTAATGAAATGTCTTCAGTATTAACTGTTTTTAATATTCAGTTAGTTATAGCTTCCATAAAAATCTGAAATATTAACCTAAAAAACGTAATGGCAGTCCCTTGTTTGAAAAATTATGCAAATGCTCACCTCCTCACCCGTTTTCCAAAAGAAATTTTGGATTTATGATAGTCTGGATTTATATATTTTTTTGAAACAAGCTATTTGTTTAATAAATAAAAACTTTTCATTTAATATTTTTACCTATCACAATTCATTATGTTATTATTCTTTTTATAGTTGCTATAGTTGCTAAGAACTATAAATATAAAAAATAACGACGGTACATATAAATAATGACGACGACCCCTCTAATAATAATAAAATTGTTCCTAATCAAATGTATGTACAACACTCTTGGATTTCATCCTTTATTAGAAAGTGAAGAATAACTATGACAATTTTTTCATATTTTAATAAGTTTTTTTAATTTATTATTATTAAACGAATTTACACCATTATTTAATTTTACAATTAAAAATCACTCATAATATAATAATTATTATATTATGAGTGATTTTTAATTGTTGATACCTATGTATCAAATTACAATTAAGGAGCTCCTACAAAGCTCAGTGGACCATGAAATAATAATGGTTTTATCATAAAAACATCTAACTAGTTTAGGTAATCCAATTTGGGTAAATCCACCAGTGTCAGGCAAAAAAATACAAAATTAAAAAAAAATAAAATTTACATCAATGAATTACCATAATTAGAAATAATATATGTATGTAGGCACGTCACTGGGTAGAAATACACTTAGCTAAGTATTATAATTTGAATCCTGCTTCCTTTTTTTTATTGCATTTATCCAAGCATAAAAACCATGATGATTCTAGACGAAGTATTCACTTGTTTTTAGTCTATTCCATGCTAGTATTATTTTATTTCTTTTAAAGACAACATGATCAATGTTTTGTTATTATTTGGACTTTTTAGTGCAATTAAATGTAAAGTTACAGTGATAGACGATGATCCTGTAAAAATGAAAAACTTTTCAATTGTAGGTAAAATAATTTAGTCACATGATAATATTTTTTTATTTTGTCATATATCGTCTACACAGTTGTAGAAAGTGTTTTCGATGTTTATAAGCTTAAATTTAGGCCTTTATTAGTACTTTTAAAGTCAAGTCCTGGCCGGATGATTGTTTTTAATTTTAAGTCGAACTTGCTTTGCTGAATAGGCATTTATGTATTTTTGTTGTTCCTACGGAATTTTTTACGTGTTGTATATAAAGGCAAAGGCTTGGTAGGCTTGGTGAATTTCGGAATTACGAGTTTTTAGTATTGCAAATAGCGTCGTGCAAATATTATTAAAATACTTATCCGAATTTCGCAGATACCCCTTGTTTCCTCGTGAGTGATCTTCTTCAGTTTCCCGCCACATTGAACCACCTGTTCAAGTGGAATAGTTTAATATATTCTTTCGTCATAAATTAAAAAAAAAATTATTTTTAGTCTGAATACATAACCTCTTGCGGTTACCCCTTCGAGCTGCACCAGAACATCCAAACAGAAGACGGATACCTTCTGGATGTCCAAAGGATCCCGCACGGAAAAACAAACGAAAACGATACCGACAAACCTGTGGTTTTGCTCATGCACGGCCTGCTGGGATCCGCTGAAAACTTTGTCCTGCTGGATTGCGAATCAAGTCTGGCTTTCTATCTGGCCGAGCAAGGCTACGACGTTTGGATGGGAAACGCCAGAGGAACTGCGCACTCCAGAAAACACTTGTCTATGGATCCCGATGTGGATACAGAGTATTGGGAGTTTAGGTACCAAGTAGAAAATCCTCTTATAATGTAATACGAGGCGGTGTTTTTTAGTTGGCATGAAATTGGTATCTACGATATACCAGCCACCATAGACTACATCAGGAAAACTACAAATAAAGAGAAGATTTTTTATGTCGGTCATTCCCAAGGGTGTACTGTGTTTTTGGTCATGACCTCAGAGAAGCCTGAATACAACAACTATATACAATCAATGGTAGCTATGGCCCCAGCTGCTTATATAACGGCCCCTAGTGGTGGTTTGCTTTCTCCTGCTTTTATTCCACAATTGATTAAGGTAAATACAAGGTTTGTTCCTAAAACTTTGGTCTTCACCAATTGTGAATGTCAATTTTTGTAAAGTAGAATATAAACCCAAATAGTTTTATTACTTTTAAATATGGAAAGGACGTATGTATATGTTTTAGATTCTTATTGATGCAGTAGGCATGGAAGAACTAAAGCCATCTAAAGAGCATGCATTATGCCTTGAACTGGGTAAACTGGAAAATTATTGTTCTGGTGTGATGCAAATGTTGAACATTGATCCAGACACTCTTGAACCAGTAAGTAACCAGTAACATTTTAAGGTGCATTAACGAATAATTTCTCTTCAAGGATGTTCTAGGACGTGTGTCAAACGCATTTCCCGCCGGAGCAGCAGTACGGCAAGTCATACATTATACTCAGGAAATGATTTCAGGTGTGTACAGCTCCTTATTTCCTAATTTGTAAATATGGTTGTTAAACAAATTGACTTTGTTTTTTTTGTAATTTATATTTGTAGGCAAATTCTGTCAATATGATCATGAAAAAAACGAAAACCTAATCAAGTATGGCTCCGAAAAACCACCTTCATATAACATCAGTAAAATTGTTTCACCAGTGGCTGTTTTTTATTCTATGAACGACACATTTACACCTATGGAGGTAAATATAAATAATTTAAATAAAATATTTCCTAACCTTATTATTTTTGTTAAGGGTGTCAAAAAACTCATCGGGGAACTACCGAATCTGTCTCAAGACTACCAAATTCCAACAGACGGTTTTTCTCATTTGGATTTTGTTGTAGATAGAAACGTTGTCGAACTTGTCTATTCAAAAATTGTTGAAGAATTTAAAAAATATATGTGAAAATGTATATGAAATGTTTAATAAAACATTTCCATATTTTATAGTTATAAATAAAGAAAATATTTTAATAAAAGATAAGTACCTTATTTGCTTATCAATAGCAATTAAAAAAATAAGTAATTTAAATTTATCTTTGGTTATTTTCCAGTGATTTAAAATATACAATTGATAATAATTTTAATTCAATGGTATTTTTTTAGTGGCGGATTCCGCAGCAATAAATTAATTTTTTTTTTTTGCAATTCAATGTAAAAAATCATTCTAAACTTGATTATATTTATTAATATAAACAAATATTTGCAATTATTATTAAATTATACATGAACCATAACAGATGCTGACGCATTCCTTATCTTACAAGTTCGGTTAAATTAGCAAATTAGTGGCATTTTTTCTTTCGATTAAAATGGTGAAAACATCGGGTTTCTGAAATATTCACAAAATAAAAAAAATTTTATTAAGGAATATTTCGCAAAATTTGTCATTTAAAATACCTTTGTAAAAATATATAAGGTCGTGAATATTTCTGAATCCCGACGTTTAATTGTTTTTCTGTTTTCATCATATAAACCGGAAGAAAAAATGGCCCACACCCCACTAGCCTAAATCGGGCGTATGGCCGGCCCGGCAATAAAATTTGTTGGTTCCAAGGTTTTTTTCAATCGACAGATTATTTCGTCCAAGAAATGTATATAAAATAAGAATAGAACGAAATTTCTGTATCATACCCAATTATACAGGCTTAACCTTGCACATGTAATTTTTCCCAGTATTCTGCATTTTTTTCCATAATAAGCGGATTCCCCTATCATTTTAATTGCAAAGTCCACCTTTCTAGGAACACAATCATAATAATAAATCATAATAATTACTAACGTACATAATTTACCCATACGAGCACGTGCTTTGCGCACAGATTATAAAGGTTTGGTGTTGCGTCAAAGAGTTTAGTGCTCAATGGAAAGGCGAGTTATTTATATAAATAAATCGTTAAAGAGATTTATCCGGATTATTTTGAAAGGTTAGTTGCATCCATTTTTTATTGAAAAAGGTAGGCTTTCTACGTTTCCAAAAAATACCATAAAAAATAATTTATTTGGGAGAAAGTGAGGTTAGATCGGTCTAAAACTTGTTAGATATTAAACACAAAGATGTCGCTACCAGTGTTTATTCCGTCATCCGATGATAGAATAATTCATTCTGTAATAATTTAAGAAATATATGTCACTCCACATTAAAAAGTGATATTAGGACGGTCATATTCTGTAATAGGAGTAGAAAAAATCAATACCATAACTATCGATAATAGAATGTTAAGATATTTTTTTAGAAGTAATACAATAATTGCGTGATATTTTAACAATTATAATATTTTGTTGAAAAAAAAACATAAATAAATTTACCAAAGTGCATTGACATTGCTAGACCCACAGAGAAGTTGATAAATAAACAAAAAGTTAAAATTTTCAGAATGCAATTTTAGATTTTTAGTAGGCGTTAGTTAGTATTTTAGGACCTTAGCCAACTGGATAAATAAAATAAAATGGGTATATAGTACCTGGTTTTTATTTGCCTTTTGTATTTTCCATTCTAGAAATTCTAGAGTATTACAAGAATAAAAATACCTACATGGAGTCCATCATTAAATTTTTTTTATTTATTAAAAATAATTTCAATGATGTGTGATGAGTGATGAGTGATGAGTGTCTAGAAAAGTCTATTAACGTGTTACTTACTATACTTTTTCTACGACAAATACTTAATATTATCTAAAAAATGATTTAAATTAAATATTTGTATACAGCGACATCTATAGGAAAATAAATTTACCCATTTTTTAAGTCATTGTCACCATTAACATTGCCCGTTATTAATTTTAATTAAACTTTACAATTATTGATACTTTAAAATATTAAAATATCTTCAAAATATGATTAAGGAATCTACCGGAGTTAAAATGTCAAATTGTTCTGATATAAAAGCAGTTTTTGATATTAAAATAAAAGAAAATGTTTTATAAGTACCTACTGCACACAAAGTTTTTAATGTTTTATGAGTTAAATACTGCACTATTACGGCGAAATCGAAAGGACAGTAAAACGCTATTTTAGTTACCAGTTTAATTAAGCACAAGCGAAGCTTGCGAGCGAGTGTTTAATAAAAACGAGTGCCTAAAAATTTGACATCTGTCAACTGTCACCCGGATATAACCTCACTTTTTTCCAATGTACAATTGAATAGGTCAATGCAGAAACTGAATATGTCCACTTTTTAGGGCTATTGAGTTAAACATGGATTTACTATAAGTAAAGGGAGCCCGATCGAATGGCGTAGAAATTTCACATGTCACGGTAATCTAGAATATACAAAGGCGTTAATATAGTAGAGAAACTGAATATGTCCAGAACATATGTCCACTTTCTGTTCAGTTTTTCTTATTTATCTCAAAACTAGATAGGTAGGACATATTCAGTTTCTGCATTGACGTATTCAATTAAGCTTACTTCAGCCCGTGACTAAAAGGCCCAAAAGCCACTATTGCTAACTTCATCCCTTGACTAAAACGCCATAAAGTCACACAGCTCATTAAAAGAGGAGTAGATAAATAAATTTAAAACGTAAAATAATTAAAAAAATATATAACAATGGTAAAAATTAGTCAACAAATGATTAACGTTAAAACCTGTCTTGAATAATGAATAATAATAATAATTGCATATTGCATATTATTTCCAAGACTATTGTGAAGGCATATATAATTTTAAAATAAAAAAGGAACCGAAAAAACGAAAGTATCTCACATTTTTTTATTTTTAGTCTAGTTAAATTTTGGGCCACCTCTCCAATTAAGGATACCTAATTATAATGAACAATAATTGGAAATTAAAAGCAATTAACACAGCTTATAAGAAAACTACTGAGACTAGATATTTCAATTATATTGTTAAACCTAATGTTATAAACCTCATAGGAAACACAAAAGACAAAACCGTATTAGACGTTGGTTGTGGATTCGGGAGATACCTAGAAATTCTCTCTAAGCATGACCCGTCAAAATTAGTGGGATGTGATATTTCTGAGCACCAAATACAATTGTGTAAAGAAAGTGTACAAAATAAAGATATAGAATATTACATAGTCGATTTTTCTGATGCTAGCAGCTCTATAGCTTTAGGACAGAATAAATATGATATTGTTTACAATGTGCTTGTATTATTATATATAGAGACTCTTGATAAATTAAAAACATTTATTGAAAATTGTTACAAATGCTTAAAAAAGGGTGGAAAAATGGTTATATGTACGTCAGACATTAAAAGTGCTTCATTTTATCCAGAAGTCTTTAATATTCTAAAACTTTCCGCAAAACCTTTGACTAAGGATAATGAGTATACAGATGGTTGTCCTATACAATTAGAAATTATAGAAAATTGCATTGTCACCTGTTATCAAAGAAATTTCGAGACCATAAAACAATTAATGGAACAAGTGGGTTTTACCGATGTTAGAAAATGTGATCTATTTTTAGAAGAAATCTCCTTAGAAGCCTTTACGGATAAAGAATTGAATATTATAAAAAAATCTAATATATTCTTATTTTTAGAAGCCAAAAAACTTTAAGAATCATCCCCTGGTGATGTTGCATGGCCAATATTGCAAGTAAATAAATATTTTTATACTTGCAAAATACTAAAATAAATGTTTGCCTGTTATTACTAGTTTTCTTGAAATGATTACATAGTGTAACGATTTTGTGGTTAGACACAAAGATATTATCTTTGGTTAGACAGCCTAAATAAATAACTTAACTACAAATTATTTGTACATTACTTTACCAGAATGTATAAATTTCGACATATTTATTTTAATTCGTCGCGAGTACCAAAGCTTGACTGACTGCTCGATGCTCCGCTGTGCCTTATATATCCAGGTATATACTTATAAATAAATATTTTCTTTAGCTACAAAGTCGGTTAAATTAGCAAATTAGCGGCATTTTTTTCTTTTGATTAAAATGGTGAAAATAGAAAAACAAGTTAACGTCGTGTTTCAGAATATTCACAAAACACCCTTTATCACATATTTTGAAAGAAAATTTAATTTGGAAAAAAAACATTATAATAATATAATAACTATAATAATAATAAATTCATATTACGTAAATTTATACTCAATTTAATAATAAATAAAGAAAAACACAAAAATATATAACTGTAACACCCTGTATCCGAAGCAAAACCTTTATTTTTTGATAAACTACCATCTGGTGAAATTAGGTGAAATATAAACAGTACCGCCCTGTATACTCAACTATTATTAGAATTTCCGTTTAAAACCTAAAGTCAAAATTTTATGAAAAACCCTAATTATTTGATTCAAGTTATTTTTTTCATTATCAAATGTAACTTGTTGAATCTTTGTAGATAGATAATTTATTTACAAGCGAACATATCATGAATAAATCACATGTTAAACTTGTTTACCTAGTAGAAATTATTTCAATAATTGATTACAACATATTACAAAATCAAAAGAATATTTTAAAATTTATAAACGGAAATTAACTAGATACCCAGTCAGCATCCAATTCAGAAAGATTTCAGTATGAAGTCTTTTAAACAACTTCGTGTAGAAGTTCTAACATGACGTCTTAAACAGCTCCTTTTTTTGAGCTTAGCAAATTATTAAAATGATTTTAATAAAATCAATTTAACAAATTAATAAAATAAACTTGACATGTCAAAATAAGCAACGATCCAGTATGCAATTTCTTCATCAGTTCCCTAGTAGTTCTAGTACTTCTATATCCAAAACGGAAAATTCTAAACAAGTCTTTTTATAAGTTTATACAGTAGGACTCTTTAAAATGCTTAATTGCGAAGTCAAAGAAAAGGGTTCCTCAAGAGTTCTTTTTTGAGAAGTCTTGATTAGTTCAATAGGTGGCGCATTCGAAGTCTTAAGAACTTCTTAAAAACTTCTTTCTGATGTTGTATTTGACGTCCAAATCATAAAATAGAGCTTATGCAGACTTAATTAAGACGTCATATTGCTGTCTGTACAAGCAATAAGTAGGTTTACTTATGATAAAGTAGGTATCCCTACATACTTTTCTAACAAAATTTCAACAAAATATATTCTCATCTGTGGTATAAATATTTTAAAATTTAAATTACGCGCCAAGATCTGACCAGGAGGTAAAAAACTTCACCCGATAGGTTTTAAGTATTTGTCAAAATTAATAAATATTAGATCTGTCAGTCTGACAGTGTCAGATGTCCAAGGCGATAGTTGATCGACAGAATATTGCCGAGTACCTATTGCATTTCTATTGGTTACACATCTTTATCGTAATACAACATACATTTGCATCATAATGGATATCAATAATGGATATCAATTGATATCCATTTTAAAATAACCCTGCTGTTTTTTAAAAAGTCTCGTAAACAAATCAATTTGGTATTTTTAACAAAATGCAAAAATTGGCAAATGGTTCAGGAATTTGTACGTCTCAAGTTTATCAAAGTGTAGGTACCAAACATACCTAATCCAAAAATAAATTTTGCACACAAAAAATTAAATTTCTTTCTAAAAATAGGAACATTTATAAAAATAGCTATATTTATTGTTGTTTATTTATTTAAAAATAAATGTCTAACATTTATTTGCTGTAGGTATTTAATGAAATTTATTTAATTAATTTAGGTACTTTTAATAACCCTCAAATTTGTTTAACATTTCAATGATATTTTTTGTAACTAAAAATAAATCCTCCAAGGATTTTAATGATTAGGTATAAAATTATGTTATAAATTTATTTATTTATTTAAATAGGTAACTACCTATATAGGTATATACCTATATAGGTATATAGGTATGTATAAAATTTGTTGGTCCCAAGTTTTTTTATACCTACGACAGATTATTTCTGTCAAGGGATTAAAAAAAAAATAAGAAAACACGTTTTATTGAAGAACCTACCTATATAAAAAACAAATAAAATAAGAATAAAACGCAATTTCTGTATCATACCGTAGAACGGGGTGACTTCGGACGATTTTTTAAGTTTTTTCAAATTTTGAATCGGTTCTGTTTGTTATTTTGAACTAAATTTTTTACAGGGGATTTTGGCATCCTTCCGGTATAAGTTTACGTAAAAATTATAATAGTCATACAAATACTAATACTACTTTTTTTTTGTCAAAGTCTGTCCGAAGTCACCCCTTAAGGTGGGGCGATTTCGGACAAGCGTTGTAAAATGTATATAATCGAAGCTAGCACATTCAGTGGCGACTTCGGACAGAAATATTGCTTTAAAAAAAAGTATAAAGCATAAAATTATGAAAAAAAAGCATGAAATTAGGTAAAAACTCATTCAAATGAAAAAGGGCATTTTATTTATCAAAATACAAAATAAAATTGAATTCTGAGGATCAAAACAATAAAACAAATTTATTTCTTCTTATACTAAATACTAGTATATTAAAAAATATTTTCCTCTGTATAGTTTCTGTAAAAATTGCTCTCCAACATTTTTTTATAGACCCTAACCATGTCCGAAGTCGCCCCCTAAAATGCAAATATTTGTATTACACCCATGTATAAAAGTTAATGTAATACGAACGTAAACCAAAAAAAAAATAATTTATCAACAAAATTACGTACTACCGAAAATCTATATTATTTTGATCATACAGTGCATATTTACTTGCTGGCACCAGTTACTTTTACCAAGTTATAAAATAAGTAAAGTTTGAACTCCAGACTAAACGATGCAAAAAGCTTATTTCACCTAACAACCGAACCCACGCGCCTCTTGCCATAGCTTTAGCCATCTTCTACGAAGTTTTTTCCCGAATTACAGAACTCTGTTACGTCAGACGTCCCAATCGCGAATTTTTAAAAGCTTTAAGGTAATGATGTCCGAAGTCGCCCCGGCTGTCCGAAATCGCCCCGTTTTACGGTACCCAATTTATACAGGCTTAATTAAGGTTAACCTTGCACCTGTAATTTTTCCCAGCATTCCGCATTTTTTACATAACAAGCGGATTCCCATTGCATTTTAATTCCAAAGTCCACAAAATCTACGTTCTACCTTTCTAGGAACACACTCAATCATAATAATTACTAACGTGCATTATTTACCAACACGAGCACGTGAGAGAAACGTGCACACGCCGCGCGACCAATCAGAGGCTGCGCCGAGGAAACCTGTGTCTCGTTCACAGAGAGTGCGCTGGATGAATTTATTTCAGTGCTTTGCGTTGATGAGTTAAGTGCTCAATAGAAAGCTGAGATAATTATATCGATAAATTGTTAAAGAGATTCATCTGGATTACTTGAAAGTTTAGTTGCATCCATTGTTTATTGATAAAGGTAGGATTTAGTTAATTTTGTTTTAATTTAGGGTTACAGGGAAATCAAGGCCATGTGCTAGCCCTTATTACTGCCATGATAACGATCGATAACAGAATTTTAAGATATATTTTTGGAAGTTATACAATAATTGCTTGATGATCATATTTTGGTAGAATAAAATCCATAAATAAATTTAACAAAGGGCATTGACATTTCTAGACACACAGAGAGAACCTTAAATTATAAATTTCTCTTTTTTAAGATAATCAAGTTGATAAATAAACAAGGTTCATTAACACATAAAATTAATGTAATTTTAACCCAGATTTCGTCGGAAACTTAAAATATTCAGAATGCAATTTTAGATTTTTAGTAGGCGTTGCTTTAGTATTTTAGGACCTTAGCCAACTGGATAAATAAAATAAAATAGCTAGTAGTAATGTTTAAAACAATTAGGTACTGTTCTAAAAGTTAAAAATAGAATTTTAACGTTTCCAATGTTGTTTTTATTTACAAGAAAAAAATTGTCCAAGGTACCTGCTTTTAATTTGCCTTTTGTAGGTATTATTTGCCATTCTAGAAATTCTAGAATATTACAAAGCTTTCTACCTACCTACAGAAATAAACAGGTAGGTACAATTTTACACAAGGAACAAGTTTTGAATAAAAATACCATTAATGAAATTTTATTATTTATTAAAAGTGGTATTATCATTTTGGAGGTAAAGAAACACAATTAAAAAAAACAAAATTTAAAAATATATACTTACATATATCAATATTAATGGTAAAAATGAGACAAGACAAATAAATTATAAAGGTTAAAACCTATGGCACGCTGTTTTAGTATTTATTAGATAATAGTTTAGCATTAATGATGTTTTAACAGAAATTTACAAAGTTAAATTTTTTTAAACTCAAAACAATTGATAGTCAAAAATTTGTTTAAATATAAAAAACAACTACCTAGGTACTAAAATTGAGGAGGGATGTATAATTTTAAAATAAAAAAAGAAAATACAAAAATACCTCACAATTGTTTGTTTTTAGTCTGGTCAAATTTTGGGCCACCTCCCCAATAAAGAATACCTAATTATAATGAGCAATTGGAAATTAAAAGCGATTAATAGGGCTTATAAGAAAACAACTGAGTTAAGAAATTTCAATTATATTGTTAATCCTCATGTCATCAACCTTATAGGAAACATAAAAGACAAAACCGTATTAGACGTCGGTTGCGGATTCGGGAGGTACCTAGAAATTCTCTCCAAGCATACCCCGTCAAAATTGGTGGGGTGTGATATTTCTGAGCATCAAATACAATTGTGTAAAGAAAGTGTAAAAAATAAAGATATAGAATATTACATCGTTGATTTTTCTGATGCTAGCAGCTCTATAGCTTTAGGACAGAACAAATATGATATTGTCTACAATGTGTTTGTAATATTATATATAGAAACTCTTGAAAAATTAAAAACATGCATTGAAAATTGTTACAAATGCTTAAAAAAGGGTGGAAAAGTTGTTATATGTACGTTGGATATTCTAAGTGCCTCATTTTATCCAGAAGTCTTTGATATACTAAAGCTTACCGCAAAACCTTTAACTAAGGATAATGAGTTTACTGATGGTTGTCCTATACAAATGGAAATCATAGAAAATTGCATTGTCACCTGTTATCAAAGAAATTTCGAGACCATAAAACAATTAATTGAACAAGTGGGTTTTACTGATGTTAGAAAAGGTGACTTATTTCTTGACGAAATCGCCTTACAAGCTTTTACAGATAAGGAACTGAATGTTATAAAAAAATCCAATATATTTCTATTCTTAAAAGCTAAAAAACTATAAATAATGATGGCATGGCAAGTAGTAAATACTTATTTTTATACATGTAAAATACTGAAATAAATGTTTACCTGTTATTTCTAGTTTTCTTGAAAAGATTACTTATCTAAAAAAACAAGTTTATACAAAAGATTATGTGCTTTATGTCTCCTTGCTTAAGTGGTTTTTGTGATATATATATGTACTACTTTATCAAATTTGTCAAAATATGAACTAGGCATAGATTAATAACCTAGGTACATTTTTTAGACATTTCATTTTTGCCAATTATTTTCAATATGAAGTTTATTAGATTCAGATTTCTTTTTCAGATAAAAAATGATTTCTCAAAGTGCCCAAGAGGAAGCTAAATTGGATGCAATGCAACGTCATTGGCAGCTACGTCGAGGAGGCTCCTCCACAATTTTTAAAGAAGTTTCTGAAACTGAAGACCTTTTATCCTTGCCATTACCACGTCAAGTAAGTATTTAATGCTGCATTTAAAAAAAATAAATATGCCTTCAATAGGTTCAAATTTGGTTTGGTGGTTGTATAAGAAATAAAATTATTATTATTATTCCCATAGTAAATACAAACGGTCCCAGGTTTGAGCCATGTGGCACTCCACTTTTGATTTTTTTATTGATATAGCACCTAGAAAGAGAGGCACCTAAAAATTATTGATTTACGTCTAAGAAATATAATAACGTTATTGGAAAGATAAAAAACCAATTTTATGATATATCCATTAATAAAATTGCCTTTATCAAGAAAAAATGTGAATACCCATTATATTGTCTACTAATAAACCGATTTATTTATTTATTTAATACTAATCAATCTATATTTTGACGGTTCCATAAATAGTAAGAATGTTTTATTATACAGCGTGTCTCAGATATTTTTAAAGGTACAGGGTGTCAAAGTTGATAAAAAAATATGGTCACGGCACTGCTTTTTTAAGAGTTTGATATTATAATTTAATTAAGCAGTTAAAATAAAACTTTTTTCTCCATCTTGCTTAGGGTTTTAAAATTTTCGGAAAAAATTGACTTTTGCATTTTTTTATTTTATTCAAAGGTTAATACGAAAAAATGCAAAACTCAATTTTTCTGAAAATTTCCAAATTTTTACTGATATCGAGAAAAAAGTAAATTTCCGACGCTTAATATAATCATATATGATTATAATAATTATTCTTTTGATTTTAATGTGCATTTAATGCACAGTAAAAATATTCAGGGTTGCAAAAAAACATACTACGTGCTGTATTAACATAACTTTCATTTTATTTGACACTACGATTTATAAAATTATAATTTTGTAATTTAACATTATAAATCATTCATTATTTTGTAATTGGATATTTTCTTGCTCTCTTAAAATGAAATAGTAGAGATTCTACTATTTGAATTAGTACCACTTTTAAATAGTTATTTTTTACTACGTTAAAGTTAAAGTTTGACTAATTTAAGATTAGTCGCCATCTTTGACTATTTCTGAGAGTTAAAAGTAACTAATTTCTTTAATCGTTTGCGGCGAACAATAAAGTATTAAAATATTATGAAGTTTAAAATAATATGAACAATATTTATTGACAAATAAAATTGAGTTTTATAAGAATGACTGATAGCCACATTAGTTATGTCAACAGCTTGACAAGTGACAGACCTGGACCGGGCTGGGTCAAAACTTTTTTAAATCTTATAATTTGACTATTTCATTCAGTAGAGTATGACTAAATTATTAGTGACTGCTTTTTTGCTATGACAATTAGTCAAATATGACTTATAATTTAACATTATTATTATTGAACAATTTAGGAAATAATTACAAAATACGAAAATATTGTCATAAAAAAATTAAGGGTTTGCATAGGTTTTCCTATTTATAGAACGTAAATTTATTATTAGAAGCTTGGTTAATTGTTTTTAACACTTTATAGTTAGAATGAGACGTGTTATTATGCAGACGGCATAACTTACTAGTAGACACTATTTGCGTTGTAAGTTTCGTCCAAAAATATTTGCAATGCACAATTTTGTACTTTATCTAATCAAGAAGGAAATTTTTTTAACTTAATTAAGTAGTTAATTTATTTTAAACTTGTGCAAACAAAGTTCAAACTGATTATAGATGTTACATAAAATTTTGTAATTAAATCTTTATTTCGCATTTTCTTTCGGGAAAAACAGATAAATTATATATCTATCTACAATATGTTTATATTTATTTAATTCTTTATCTTGTTTGCTCCATTAAAATGCTCTGGTGACCCACAATACCATTTTCTTAACCCAGAAAAAATAAATACGCACCACTGAATTTCTTCTTTATTTTCAGGCCACACGTGAAAATTTGGCAAAAAAAAACACCAAAGCGCCCGCTACCTATACCTGCAGCGACTTGGAAAGCGATTCCGAACATTGGGAATTCAAGGTATGTACATAACAAAAAGCATGTCTATAAAATTACCAAGCACGTGGCCATCAATCAAAATTTTTCGATCGACGTGAAAAAACATGTTTACCTACTCCGTTTATTGGCAAGCAATTTCAAGGACTGGACCAAGATCAAAAAATACGTTTATATAATTAAAACTATTTCGGATGTTAGTTCAGCACTTGGTGCATACAAAACATGTGCAACATGATTATCGCGGAAATCGTGTCTTACAATTTTGACGAAAAAAACACCGAAAATATAGGGGTAAACTTATTGAGAGAGTTCCTCAAGGTACCGTGCTGGGACCGCTCTCAATTTAAACTTGCATAAATGACACCTAAATAACAGTTTAAATAAAACAGAGTTCCTCAAGGTATTATGTTGGGACTCTTTAAAATCGTAGAACCCCCAGTGTCTTGAATCGCGATACTTTTTGCAGGAACCCAAAAAGGCTGTTGAAGAGCCCAAACAACAGCAAAAGAACATATCGCAAGTTTTGGATGCCTCCAAACTAGGAGATCTTCCAGCGCGCTATACAATTTGCGCCCTGGAACAACACCAATTCCCAGTGGTGGGGGTATATGTCGACGAACGGGTGGTGCCAGGTTTTAAATACAAAGTTCGCCCTTTACCATCGCCGGGAAAAAATCCGACCACCTGCAAATGCCTTTTCGACGAGAGGGCTTTAACTCTAAGATCTATTGGTAGAGGCTACGCGAGACGCTTCACTTTCGAAGCCGATAAAAATAAATTGAACGACAATGAGAATTACTTCTGGAGCGACAATCGCCCTGAAGGATACGCTTTTGAACTCGAGGTCGTTTCAGAGGGAGATAAGTTCACTATTTTCGACATTAACCGTAAAGCACAAGGCACCTTGGAAGTACTTAATATAATGGTATGTATTTTTTTTTGTATTTGGGTTACGAGTTTCGTTAAGTTAGTCGACTGGTCGTTTTTAATTTGTCATTTGTTACTTTAATTTATATGCAGTAATATTGTATGTATGTATATGTGAAAGCATATGAAATTACTGATAATTATAATCAACATCATTTTGTTTACTTACAAACATTATTATAAAGGGTGGGCCATCTATAAGTTGAATTTTAAACTACGTGCTATTAATGAAGCTTTCAACTTAAGCGCTATGAATTGTTGACAGTGGTTTAGTTTTAACCTTCCGATTACAAAATATGCACCGAATAAATTTGGATCAACGTTTAGAAATACTCAAAACTTACTTTGAATGTGACTGTGATCGCAGAGACGGCAAGAAAATTGCGTTTGGAAGAAATGAGGGGCCGTCAAACCAAAGTATTACAAATTTGATGAAAAAAATTGCGCAGAAATGGAATGCTGGTGGACATAAAACATGTTTCGCATGCTCGTCCTAGACGTACACCTGAAGCAATTGCTGCTGTTGCCGAAAATGTACGCATGAACGCGTCAACACCAACTCGGCGCAGATGTCAACAACTCGGCCTTTCCCGTACCACTCTGAGGATGATTCTGCACAAAGACCTCGGTATGTTTGCGTACAAAGTCCGGCTTGTTCAGGAGTTAAAGCAAGTTGACCATCCACAACGTTTTCGCTTTGCTGAGTGGGCTTTAAACCAGTTGAACGATGACCCTAATTTTGCAAGAAAAATCATCTTTTCGGATAAGGCGCATTTTTACCTCGCAGGTTATGTCAACAAGCAAAATGTAGGATTGCCTAAATAGAGCAGCAAACTTTTGACAAAGTGCTCGAAAATTGGTGTTCCAGGATGGGCTACTGCCGAGCCAGCTGAGGTGGCCACTTAAATAAAATCATTTCCCATACTTAATCGGAAGAAACATTGTATCAAATAAAGCAAAATTCGTTGAAAAAAAATCAGTTTTTCTTGTTCTTATTGCTATTTTATAATTCAACATAAACATGGCCCACCCTTTACAGGGCAAATGTGAAATACGCTTGGAAGTTTAAGTTGGTATTTGCCCTCTATAAGATGTACCCACATTAACCTCATGGGTTTAAACAATTGTCATTACATTTGATCAAGAAGGACTAACGTTAGTACCAACGTTGGTACCAAGGACGATTCTTAAATTTTTAGGTGTATTTCATGATCATGTATGCCTGTAACTTGGTCACTTGAGGCAAAACTTTCGAGATTTGGGTAATTCTCCCATAATTTTAATATTTAGATCCAAAATTTTTTAAATATAAAATTTCTCTGTTGAAATAATTTTTTTACTCTAGACCTTGCCTTCATTTGATAAGCCAAATGGCAAAGCACACTTTTAATTTATTTAAAAGTAAGTACTAGTACTTTTCCTGAACGTCCCTTGCCTATCGGCTCGCCCGGAAACTTTCATCCTCGGGAGTAATTGCTATTATTAATTTTGTTTACCTAATTGAAAAAGTTAATATTTAACATAAATATAAAAAATTTAAATAATTACGGCATAGCTTTTAATATCCAGTTAGCTTATGGACTTCCTTAATTTTTAATTAAAATTGGTGAAATAACTAAAAGTTGTTTCGCACCACAACATTTACACATAACCCACAATCCACACAACAAGGTCTGATCTATCTCATGCTAAAAATTCTAAAAATCACTGCAACACTGCACAGAGTTTAACGGCGGCCATTTTTGTTGTTTACAATTCTTGTGCTTTGGGTTTGTGCTGTTTAATAATTGTTTTAAACGTTGTGTTGCTTACAGAGGCACTTGTAAGCCTCAAATAAGGCCTTTAAGTGTTAAGGACAACCATTTTACTACTCTTTATAATTTAACCTTAAAATTGACATTTGACAGTTTTATGACAGCCCTGATAGAATAAAGTTTATTTTTTACAATAGAGGAGTAAAATGGTTGTTCTTGGCACTTAGCACAAGGACTCTTTTAAGGCTTACTATGAGAAACACAACGTTTAAATCGATTATTAATCTGTATAAACAGAGCACAAACCCAAAGCACAAAAATTGTAACAACAAAAATGGCCGCCGTTAAACTGTGCAGTGTTGCAGTGATTTTTTGTATTTTAGTACGATATAGATTACAGTTTATTCATATTGAACTATTTCTAGATAAGTTTAAAAAACAGGTTTGGGACAAGGTAGTAAGGGGTAGATTTTTGTTTTAAATCCGGCCTAGAAATGTAGCTCGTCTGGTCAGCTAATAAAAAAAAATTATTAGAATTGAAAAAAAATATTTGACGTTAAAATTATGGGAGAATATCCATTTTTTTAGATAAAGCCTTTGGTGGCCGATTTATCACATTGCTTCATTTTTGGCCAGTCGACATTGTACTACTGACTGTTTTATTTTTGTGTGTAATCACCGAAATGCGCATGTGCTCGATAAACGTATTGTTAATAGACAAGCAGAAAACAATCGACGGATCGCAGTAGTCGTGGCTCGAATATCGCAGAAATCGCAGATAGAGGGCGTCGTAAGTCTTTCAAAACTAAAACCAACTGTGCGATTGCATTTCCTTATTATGCTCACTCTTTTAGGGACCGCAATTAGAGATAGGTAGTAGTTGTGTTAATAGCAACCTCGAAAAGCGCGCGCTTGTTAAATTTGCCGGTAAGGTAGAGTTCTTCGAGACCGGTGTTGCCAAACCTATGCCCCTGTCGGGCACGGTGGTCGCTAAGAAGTGCAGGGGCAAAGCTACCGCCGAGGTTGCCAAAATTCTCAATGTCACCATTAAGAGGCAGAGGTACTATTTGGTTCCCGGCGTGCAAAAGGTGCACAGGAGGTGCACGGTCAAGGGCAGCGATATAAACGATGTGCCCACCAAGTATACCATGACCGGATTGGAGCACTACGAAATCCCAGTTGTAGGTAAGTCGAAAAAAAAATCATGTGTGTGGGAATGTGAGAAATATTAGTTGTGAGTGTGAGAGAGAGAAAGAGACAGGGATAATTTCAAAAGAAATATAACAGTATAAAATTTGTGTAAAAAATATTTTTTTTAACCATACCAGAAACGCGTTACAAGTCGCTGGTTATTAGTGAGTAGTGACCACACACATAACACCAGTTCCCAAACCCTTTCTCTAAGACATAAAATTTAAGGCGTGGGAGGGCCCTGTAAGGAAACTATTTCCCAAGCCCTAAAATCATTCCAGCACGCGCCTAATCATGTACTGCTGGTTTATTACAATTATTTTAATAATAAAATTTCATAAATACCTTAAAATATAGGGCAAAATGTATCGAACACAGACACTGCTTAGCAGTGACTGCTATCTAATATAACTAGTAGTTATTAACTTCTGATTAATTTCATCTTCCTTGGCGTAAAAACAGAAGCGAATTTGCTTTCGGCACGCGTCTAAAGAGCAGCATTCTTTGAGCGCGCCAAGCTTTTGTCTTTTGTTGGCTTTACACCGCGTTATTACAAATAAGCCGCATTATTATAAAATATTAAAAACAGTAAATATTCGCTACTCTACCGTACTCATAATTGTTTATTTAATTTATTTTTGGTAGAAATAAACCATTTGGTAACAATTTTTATTTTTTTAAGTAATTTTGCGGTAGAATATCGTTTATTTCATTGTATCAAATTAATTTGACAATAAAAAGACATTTTTTTCTAAAATTAAGTATTTTCAAAAGAAAAAAAATTCAAAAAGATATTTAACTGAGAATAGGTCTCTTGTTTGACGTAGATAATTGCCCACTAAAGACCAGCTTATCATGTCAATTTTCTCTTGCAATGTGTATGACATTATAACTTATAATTTTAAATAAAAGAAATTAATTTATGTTAAAACGCTCGAAATACTCACTAGCAAATGCAAAACAATCCTCGCCTACGTCGGCAATCTGCTTAGCTCTCTTTCTCCTTCTCTCTACGTTATGTCTTTTTTCTCTCTCCCCTTGTGGACATTTTTCTCTGAGAAAGTCTTACTTTCTCTTAAAATGTCTGAATAATACTTATTAAGTCGGAAAAAGTCAGAATAAGACTTATTAAGTCGGAAAAAGTCTGAATAAGTCTTATTAAGTCAGACTAATAGCAAGATTTGGGAGTCTTCTGGAAGAGTTAATAAGACTTTTTAAGACTTAATAGGACTTTTAGTCAGAGCTGGGCCAAGTACAAGTAAAATGTACTTAAGTACCGAGTACAAAGTACTTTGTATAATTCCTGAAGAAGTACAAAGTACCAAGTACTATACAAATTTCAAAGTACTTTAAGTACAGTACTGCAAGTACAGTACTCAGTACTTTATAATTGTATTTTAAGAGTACATGTCAACAAGATAAGACTCGCTGGTACCAAGACTTGGTAATAGTGAAGCTTTGGAAATACCAAAGTTTTGAAACGTAAACCTAAGTTAAGTTATAATTATGTGAAATAAATCATCTTAGAAATATACAAATTCTATTGTTCTTTTATTTTAATCAAATTCGCTTGAACAAATTGAGGTTGTCATTGTCACTGACAATTTATCTGGATGCCAAGCTTCGAAATCAAAATTTTGCGTACTATAATGAACCTCATTAAAGCACACAAAACATTTAAATGGCGTGTTATAATAAAGTCATTATAAACGCAAAATAGATAAATATATAATATAACCACTCAACCTAGATAGCAAAATGCATGCAGTGTAGGCATTGCCTACTAGGCAAGCGTGCGGATTGGTACATGCTCTGATCCAAACATTTGTGTTGACACATATTATGTAGGGATCAGAGCATGTAACAATCCGCACGCTAGTCCCTGCATGTATTTTGCTATCTGCGTATAATTAAGTACTTCAAAATTTCAAAAATATAGGCAAAGTGAATTAAAAGTAGGCAATTTAATGAAATATCTATTACAAATAAACAATATGGTTTATTAATTATTATTATTTTTAATAATAAGAGTAAGAGTAACTAACAAATTGTTGGTTGACTTTGTTTGCTTTCATGATTACCAGTTTCTCAAAGTTTTCGTCTGTCAGTGCATTGCGCCGTGGACTATTCATAATTGTGGCGCAGACAGGTCTCAACTTGTGTAAAGTACTTGTAAAAATGTACTTATATTTTAGTCCCAAGTACTGAGTACTCTTAGCAGAATGTTACAAGTACAAGTACCAAGTACATATACAAAGAAGTACTTAAGTATCAAGTACAAAGTACCCTAAAATGTACTCTAAGTACTTTTTCAAGTACTTGTACTTAAGTACCGCCCAGCTCTGCTTTTAGTAGAGAAATGGTAGGTACCTACGGCGATAAAAATTTCCACAAGGGTCGTGTAACGAAATCTCGGAGCGTTACATTTTTTCCAATTCACTCTTCATTCTCGTCAAATATCAGAACGCCCCCAAGAAGTTTCACTTCAAAAAAGCGAGTCGGAAAAACGGGGATAATTGGAAAAACATTTTTCGGTTTTTCAAGGAACCTACGTGGATCCAAGAATAATTCCGGGCTTCTACTACAAAGTCAGACCCAACGACAGGAAAGAGCACCTCTTCAACGGGCGCGCTCTGAAGCTAATCAGCATCGGCATGGGCTACGCTAAACGTTTGACATTCCAACCGGACTCGCTCGTCAACCCGGACAACTACTTGTGGTCCGACAGCCACCCGGACGGTCTGGGTTTGGAAATAAGAGCCGTCCGCAAAGGCATGATGTTCGACGTCAAAGCAGGGGACCAGTTGCTCGGGGAGGCCACAGTTTTCAGGGCCGACAAGCCCCAGAGGGAGGAAAAAATGGAAAAAGTAAGAAAACACTTTTCTCGATTTTTATGTAATTTTCATTGTCATATTCTCGCACGCAAAATCTCATTCTTAAACGATTTTTGGTAACATTTAGTTTTTAAGTATTGGTACCCCCAAAATGTCAAACTGTGTAATAACCTCAAATTCATTACTTTTAGGATTATTTATAATAGCTTTGTTTCAATTGTTTGTTATCCTGCACTAGTGCAACCTGAACTACACTTTTATTGAAAATGAAGCCTTTATTATTGTTTTGTAATATTAAGTTTGCTCCAACAACGCATTTTAATGCACAATTTTAGGTTTAATGTGAAAAAGTGCAGGATAACAAATATTGTCATTTTGTAGTGCCAACTGACATTTTGCGAGAAAAATCCCCCAACTAACAACGACCACAAAACAATGGGGTAGTTAAATTTTTTCTGACCTATACTTTTTATGGTTTTATTCAAGGCGTTTTGTAATATTAAACATTTCTGTGAAATCAGAATTTCAATTGAGTTTACCGTTTTCGAGATATTTACAAAAAATATAAATTTTTATGACGTCACAAACCTCGCCATGTGACCAACATTCTAAGATTTCTATTGGTTGAAAATTACCCTGTTGTCAAGTTGTCTTGTTAATGATTTCATTCGGTTATGTCAGAAAATACCCGAAGAGGTTATGTACAAATACTGTCACTGTCAGTTGAGTGAAAGATGGTCACCAAATTCATTAAGTACCTATCTTCCTTATTACGAGGTATCATATTACTGTTTGATATTTTAGAGTCCAAGATATATCTAAAAGAATATAAAGAACTAGGCATTATACAAATAAAATGCATTTACGACAAAATATGATTATAATTATAGGTACTTACATTATTTGTTTAAAAGCTCCAATGTTCAATGTAACCAACCATTCCACAAGATTCCTCTGCTTTGGAGTCCGTTATTAATAAATCACTTATCTAATATCAATTACAAATAACATAACAATAACATTGATTTTCAATAATCTAAATTAAAAAAAAAACATAACCCGAAAAAAAGAAACGTCAAAAAATCAATTCTTCTTCTTCTTCTCAACTAAAATTATAGATCAAGTGGTTTTAAAACTAAAATATTATAACGTGGCGCCATATATCGTAAGAATCTTAAACTAAACACACTGGCAACCATAGAAAAAGCTGGCAACGTTGTCAATAGCCTAGCGACGTAATTAGGAGATTTTTTTTTGTAAATATCTCGAAAACGGTAAACTCAATTGAAATTCCGATTTCACAAAAATGTTTAAAATTACAAAACGCCTTGAATAAAACCATAAAAAGGATAGGTCAGAAAAAATTTAACTACCTAACCTAAATAAAAGTTAAAATCGAGAAAATAGTATAAATCACACGTTGCAGAAGGCTATTCTCGCACTCATTCGTTCGTCCACTCGCTCCTTCGTCGCTCGAGGCCAAATTTCGAATTCGTGCGAGAATATGTGGCCTTCTGCAACTTGTACTTTGAACTAACAATTTGCATTTTTCTAGGTATTGACCGCTACCGGCCAATACGCCATCCAAAAGCGCATCCACATCGACGTGATGTGCCACTTCAAACTGTCGAGGACAGGTGGCGCCTCCATCGAAAACGACGAGCACTTGATGCGGGTGTGCGGACACGCGCTGGTGCGAAAAGAACCGAAATCCACCGAAGCTCGCATAGTCAAGGTGGAAAACGTCGGGATCGATTCCCAACTGAACGTGCTCTTCGCGCAGACGCACACCGAGCTGATCTTCACACCCAAGAATTGATTTTTTAAGACTTTATACTTATATTTACTTGTATTTAAAGTGATATTTTTATCACTTTAAAGCAATAATGTGATTTATTCATTTATTAGGAGTAGGTATATTTTTTGTTATATTGCGTATTTTATTGATAATAAAACGGATTTTTAGTACTTAATTGTTTTATTATTTACACTTATATTAATTATATGGGGTGAAAAAATATTCCCTTCAGTTCTGTATCACATATTTTCTTTACTTCATCTGAAAAAAAAACTTGGATTAATGTAATTTTAAGGTTTATAAGTTAACAAGAGAATGTAATACGGAAGTGTGTATTGAAATTTGCGACTATATTTTCTATTGGGATCTGTCAAATGAGCTCACGCAGCAGTTTGGTGAATTAGATCCTCTGCAAATGGTCCAAAATTGTATTTATCGGTTAACCGATTTAAATACAGAGGTTATAAAAATACAAATACATTGGGAAAAAACGAAAGCAGGAAAATCGAAATTTGTACAACTTTGAATTAATTTGAATAGATGGCGTTCGTAGCTGCGCTTCACACATAGTATGTGGCGCTTCAAATTAAATGAAAAAAACATAACCACAAATTCATTCATTCAATTTAATTGTTTTAGCGAGAAATTATAATTTTTTTAACTATAGTTTAAATAGTAAGGTTCTCAAGGTAAGTTTGACAGATTTAAGCGACTGTGAAAACAATTCCCTGTCGTTTTACAGTGTTCAATGAATTTGAGTTAAAAGGTTCATAAGGCAGTAGGTATATTTTTTATGGAAATCTAAAAAAACAATATTTTAGCACTTTTTAAAATTGAATACGTCAATGCAGAAACTGAATATGTCCTACCTATCTAGTTTTGAGATAAATAAGAAAAACTGAACAGAAAGTGGACATATGTTCTGGACATATTCAGTTTCTCTACTATATTAACGCCTTTGTATATTCTAGATTACCGTGACATGTGAAATTTCTACGCCATTCGATCGGGCTCCCTTTACTTATAGTAAATCCATGTTTAACTCAATAGCCCTAAAAAGTGGACATATTCAGTTTCTGCATTGACCTATTCAATTGTCGTTTCAAATTTCGTGCTGCCAACTTAAGAAACACAAAAGTATGACAGTTTTAGCCCTCGCCCATCTGACAGATCCCAACAGAAATTTTCTATTAGAAAAAGCACACAAGTGCAAAATTATACCTACCACTAATGTCAATCAGACTTGCATTTTTCTGATTGATGGCAATATAAAACTCCCTGGAATTCGAAGTCTTACCGACGACCCAATAATCATTCATAGTTTTGACAATAACTTCCCCAGAATGTCCAAAAATGCCCTTCTTCTTGTTTATATCGGCTATTATTTTTAAAGAATCCCTAGCACAAACAATATTCCCGCTTTGCTTGTTATCCAGATGAACTGTACTTTTATAGGCCAAGTTTAGTTTATTGAAATAAATAAATCTAGGGGTACTCTCTGGCAGGCTACTCGGCGTTAATACTTGTTTTGAGCAATACTCTGCTATATCAGACACTATGCTCGTAATTTTTGAACTCATAAACTCGTCCAGTTCCTTGAAAAAACCCAAAGACAACTCAACATCTAAAATAAAACATTTTTTGGCAACCACAAGCGTTAAAACTACTAATTACCCTTTATAAACAAACACACGGATGCACTTAACGCCCTGTATACGGCAAGGCGATACGTGCAAGGTGTTTTTCCTCCGAACAGGTAAATTTTGGGGACTTTCCCCACGGTTTTGGCGGTTTTTAGGTTGGTAGGCCCGGTTATGAACCTGCCGTGGTGCAAGGCGGCAAAAGGGGAACCGGAATTTCTCGGCATCGAACCTCCTTGCAGCTCTGTTTCCATATTCGCCGGCAGAAGCGTACCTATCAGGTATTGGTACGCTATTTTCATATCCGATGGTTCAATACCACTCCTGAAGGTAGTTGAGGGTAAAAGGTGGTATTTCAAAAATTTGTTTGACTATTTTTCACTTAGTTAATGTGCTGTATGCATGAAATACAAATGTCGCAGTTGGCTGCCCTGTGTAGTGCAACTTTATTTATAACAGATGACTGTTTATTATTTTTATTATATGTTTAATACAAAAAAACCTAAAGCTCTTTTTTTATTCGGAATTTGACACATTTGATTATATTATGGCACGTCGTTTTAGCATTTATTAGATAGAGTTAATTTAAAAAATTTTAAACTCAACAATTGATGGTCAAAAAATATTTTAAATATAAAATACAATTGTCAAACTTTAAGCTTAAAAATATTGATTTAAAAAAAAATATAACATAAATATTTTATTCTAAAAAATTTTCGGTTTAAATTTGTAGTCATTTAAATGATAGTCGATAAATTTTTTAATACAATTTAAATGTAAGTTTTAAATTTTAATGTGGTAATTTTTGGATTAAAAATTTATCGACTATCCTTTAAATGACTTTAAAAATTTAAACCAAAAATATTATTATTTTTAATAATTCTAAATTGATACATTTTTAACAAAAAATTTATAACTCTACATTTAAATGTAAGTCGATAATTTTTAATTTACAAAGTGTAAACGTAGCTTTAGCTGTCTCTTTTAGAGTGGTCAATTTAAAGCATAGTTCATAGTCGGTAAAACGTACAAAGCGCGAAGTCTGCAGCATATGCAGTCAGCTAATTTAGCTGAGCTAAAGCCGCGTTTACACTTTGTGAATTAAAAATTGTCGACTTACATTTAAATGTAATGTGAATATGTTTGTGTTAAAAATGTATCAATTTAAATTTGTTAAAAATAAAAGTTATTAGTTTAAATTTCTTATAAGTCGATAAATTTTTAATCCAAAAATTACCACTTTAAAATTTAAAACCAACATTTAAATGTAATGTGAGAATTTTTGTATTAAAAAATTTATCGACTATTATTTAAATGACTCTTTACAAATTTAAACCAATAATTTTGCTGAATAAAATAAACTACAATTTTTAAAAACCAAATTTGAAACTTAAACTTTTACATTTGCATTTTATCTTTAAAAAAATTTAACTTTTTAAACTATTATGCTAAAAAAAATGTTTTAGGTATATGTATGTGTTTTTATCTTAAATGTCTTGACACTATTTTTAAATACTAAAAAAATTAAAGTTAATTTTTTTAGTATTTAAAAATAGTGTCAAGACATTTAAGATAAAAACACATACATATACCTAAAACATTTTTTTTAGCATACTATACTATAGTAATCTAAATCTTAATCTAAATAATTTTATAAAATATTTATTTAAGATTTAAAAAATACTAAATTATACCCACTTAAGAAATTATTTTTATTAAAAAATTATGGAAATTTTTGCTAAAATTGATTAGAAATAATAACGTTTAAAACAAAAGTGAACTGTTAATTAGTAAATTTTGTCTTTCAATACATGTTAGTTGAAAATATTTTAAATTTATAAATGTAAATCTAAAATTTTAAACCAATAAAAATATTTAATAAATCGTCACCTGAGAATTATAGTGTTCTATCTGCATTTTCTTTTTTTTATTCAGGTTAGTCTTGTTTTAAGTATTAAAGATGCATATTGTTTTATCTATATATAATTGGGGTAGAAATTGTACAGTTTAAGCCTTAAACTTTACAATTTCTACCCCAATTATATATAGATAGATCAATATCATCTTTAAGACTTAAAACAAGACTAACCTGAATAAAAAAAAGAAAATGTAGATAGAACACTATAATTCTCAGGTGACGAAATGTTAAACAGAGTGCCATATTATGTTGGTATTGTGTGTTAAGATACTTTGGTAAGTATTTTTAATTTTTAAAATTGGTCCTCCTGTTTAAGCCTTTAATTTTAAATACTTTAACATTTGTCATTTAACTGTCAGAATTATAATAAACATACATGTTTATTTGTACCCTGGAAATGAATATTTCATCAAAGGTAAAGTTATTGCATTTTTTAACAATTTATATTTTACATTTCAAAATTTATAAACATTATTATAATTATAACATAACCACAATTATATTTACCACTGAACTAAACAAATTATAAATTTAGGGTCCCTAGAATTTGCTAAACAAACCCTCAAATTTTTTACGTCAAATTCCAAATTAAAAAACCCAACTGTATTTTGTATTAAATTAATATTTTATTACACCATTTATTTTTAAAAGTTATTATTTTATTATTATTATTCAAAGATAATGATTGTACTTACCATATTAAGTGATCATTGTATAAAAACGCCGAGTGTACAATATCATTATAATTACACTCTAGCTCGTTAATAAATGTTTGTACTTTAAGAAATGATTGCATGTCTAAAGGTAAATACTGTATGCCCGAAAATATATTTAATATATCTGAATGGGCCAATTTCATCGTTTTAATGTACTAAAACAAAACAATTTATAATTTTTTGGTAAATATTATACAAAATAATACATACTGCGCTATAAAATACATCCAACCTTGTTTTAAACACATTAATATCATCTTTTTTAAATGCGTTATGGAATGTATCCCAAAATAACCTGTACATTAAATAGGCTTGCTGTAACACAGCACTATAAACGTTATCTTGGATATCATCTTCAAGATATTCAATGGTACTTGTACTATCCTTATTTTTTTTAACTGTGGGAACTATCAGCGTCTAAAATAGTTTTTTTAATATAACAACTATATTTGAGTTTAATTTATTCACCATCACAATCCAAAAGTCTTTCTCAGGCTGATAATACAACTGCCTTTGTTTTAATGTATGTAACGAACTTACTTCAGAACTAGGCTTGAACGTCCTACAAAAATACTTAAATAACTATAATAAATATTATTATTATATTAAATTACTCAGTAAATTGTATAATTCCCTCCACAAGCCCCACATTCTTTATTTGTTGATCGTTGCTGTCAGTGGGTGGAAAATAATAAACAATTTTTTTAATTTCCTACAAAAATATAACCTCAAAAACTGTTGCAAACCGTGTATACAATAAATACCAACCTCCCCTTCTTTGGGTCCTAGGCTGGAATTAAAGATAAAAAAGTTTTTAAGCTCGACTTCATTTTTTGTAGACATCGCACTGACGTTTGGCGTTGAGGTTATGTTTGACAGCAGTGACCTTGAGAATGTACCGGGGGTGGTCGCTTGTAATATACGGGGTCTTTCTGCCATGTTTAATACGTTTTTTGTTTGGAAAATAAGCTTTATTGAATAGCTGTAGTTTTAAGTAATGACTGATCTTTAAACGAATTGCATACCATAGTCGACGAACGCAAAACATTGTTTTTTCAGAATTAAGGTCCTTTTATTTGACATTTTATGTGACAACTGTTAAACGGTTTTAACCTCACTTTTTTCAATCTGACATCTGTCAGACATGTTTAACCTCACTTTAACTCCAATTTAATGCACTAGTGCATTAGTGTAGAAATAGATAATAGTATCAAGTTTTATAAACGTCATTTTAGTTACGAGTTTTATTAGGCACGAACGAATCTTGCGATCAAGTGTTTAATAAAAACGAGGTTTATAAAACGTAACCAAATCTCTAAATTTTTTAACGTTGTCAAAGCTCAAAAAAAAAAAACTTTAATCATGGATTTGGCAATACAGTGTTGACAGATGGTGCAGACCCTCCCAGGATCAAAGGAAAAATAAAAAACAGCATTTTATTAACATATTTTGTATTCTTAATATATTTAAAATATCATTCACACATTTTGTTTCAATTACAAGCAAATCATACTTATAACATATATACAAACATTACACAGATGTTTTTTAAAATTATGTAATCAAGTGGTGATACTTGATTGCATATTTTTTACAAGATGAGAGTGGAGGGAAGGTAGAAAATTTAAATCGATAAAATTTAATGGTAAATTTGAATTTTCTACGCTAGCGAAGCAACTTAACCTCACTTGTTAAATAAATATGAGATTCGATATTTTCGAGGGCTTTATTGTTTAATTTCATGCGTTTGCTATCTTTTGGGCAGTTTTTTTGTTTTGTTTTCGCAAATAAACTGCTCAGTAAACAATAAAACAAAATGCTCGTAAAAATTGACATTACCTACCCTGAGCCCTAGGACAAGTGACACCAGATTTACAAGCATTCGACGTGCAAAAAAGTAGGGTTATGTTGCTTCTTAAAAAGATTTTATGACTGTACAATAATCATGCCGCCTTGAATTTTCTATTAATGAATATAATTTTCGGCAACACGATTTTTTTATTTTCACTTAAATACGGCAATAGGGACCCTGGATACATTTAATGGTAAATATATTACAATTTTATTGAAAACTTTTCTTATTAAATGCAAAAGAAATTTTATATCTTGGGAGAATATATTTTTATGTATGTTGACATCCGTCAATTTTGAAAATGATTTTGACAGACGGTTCTCCGACTTAACCTCACAAAAAACGCAGTTTTGACGTTTTAAACGTCACAATGACGTTCGAGTGTTTTGCGTTTCAAGTGATGAAAAGTCGCATTTTGTCATGATGGTTGCTTAGTGTTTAAGCCGTATTGTCATTACTATGCGCCATTATGTACAATATACGATTTTTTTTCATCTCTTTACGATTTTGTTGGCAGTACATAGTACAATCTAATCATCCGAAAAATGCCATAATTATAAATAGGTACACGACAACAGGGTGTCTATTTTTTATTTTTAATCCCAAACTAATTATCTCTACTGTTTATCCTCATGATTCGATTTTAGACACCTTGTGCGTCTACAGGGCGACTCAAAAAAACCTAACCCAACAAATTTCAAAAATGACAGATGAGATAAATCGACCAAATTTTGTAAAAAAAAGTGGGGTAATTTTTGGTAAAAGTGGGGTAATTTTAGGTAAAATTATTTGCAGGTTGAAATAAACGTTTTGAGTGGTGGGGTAATTTTAGGTAAAAGTGGGGTAATTTTGGTAAAAGTGAAAATTGTAAATATCAAAAAAGAGAAAATGTGAAAAAGACTGGATAATCTTCTTAACCAAAGATTTAGTCACTTACGTTTCTTACGATGTGGGGTAGATTTTTTAGACTCGTCCTGTATATTGGCGTAAATTCCGTTAACAAATTTAATCAATAATTTGAAACAATGCATAAATTATATGTAAAGCCTTTAATTTCCTTGGAACACATTAATCAACAACTCTTTTTTGTCAGAAAAATTCAGATATATTTTTATATACAATTTGATATAATCGTAGAAGAATCTGATATAGTTCTGAACCCAAAAAATAATAATAATAGGGGATAAATTCTTGTGTGTATTGTAAATCAACAAAAACAGTCTTTTTTATAGCATTTGCCACTTAGTGTTCACAACCTGATGAAATCGTTGAGCACTGTTGAACCCATATATTTTTTTCATAGCTGCCTATTTTTACGATATTACCCTTAAATTTATATTAATAAGAAGCAGGATCATTTTTTAAAGCGAAAAAAATTCAATACTAATACTATTAAAAACGCTTACATTAAAATCACAGACATTTTTTTTCTTCTTCTTAATCGTGAAATGTGGACACAACGCGACGTCGCATTCGCAAAATAAATCTATTATCAGTGGAGTGGAGTGTAAAAAACCGCTTTTACAGGCACAAATACCGCTGAAGTCTTTTTCAATGTCTCTATCATCAACAAAAACTGTGATGTAAGTGATTTAAACAGATTTCGGAAAGTGGGGTAATTTTGGTAAAAGTGGGGTAATTTTGGTAAAAGTGGGGTAACTTCCGGTAAAATGGTCTACGTGCTGAAATAAACGTTTTGGATAGTGGGGTAATAACTTACATTGCGTTATCTCAGTTTTGTTCTTCGATAGAGACATCTTGGTACTTTTTTGTTCGGTTTGGGGTAGTGTGGTGTGATAATTTAAGCGCTAATATCGTAAAATGTGGCTTTGCTTGGATCACATCGTGTGATGGCGGCCGCCGCACGCGCCGCACCTGACGCCGCACCAGTGGCAGAGCTTTAGGGGCGGGTACAGCCACAGACAGGGAACGAACATCGACAGCAGCGCCAGACAGCACCAGCGGCGGGTGCACGAGTCGTCTGACGCGCAGTCGCACGGGTGTTGCGCGAAGTCGCCTGAAAAAAATAAATCAAATTGTTTTGTGTCTTGTGTAAGATTTTTGGGTTAAAAACATATTTAAAAAATGTCTAAAAGTTCGTTTAAAATGCTTACTGTACATATTAAAATTTAAATGAACTTTTTAATATGTTTTTAACACCTGAAATCTCTCAAGATAAATTAACTAAATTTGGTAAAGAAGTGGGGTAATTTTTGATAAAATGATCAACGGATTGAAATAAACGTTTTGGAAGGTGGGGTAATTTTCGGTAAAATAATCTTTAAATAAATTTCAATTCATTCCCAAACATTCTTAAATGGTTTTTAATATTCGCAAATGTTTTAACATGCTAAAAATAATGTTTGTTGGATTTCTGACGTATAAAATCGTTAATATCTCTGAAATCTCCTTAGATAAATTAACTTAATTTTGTAAAAAAGTGGGGTAATTTTTTGTACAATAATCTACAGGGTGAAATAAACGTTTTGGAGAGTGGGGTAATTCTTAAACATTCTAAAATGTGTTTTAATATTCGCAAATATTTTTAACAGGTTGAAATGTGTTTTTGGTATTTTAAAAGATATTTGTAAGTTTTAAGAGTTTTGCCATTTTAAAATTCTTAATGCAATGTGGCATTGTATAAAAAATAATTTTTGTTGGATTTCTGAACTATAAAATCGTTAATATCTCTGAAATCTCTTAAGACAAAATAACTAAATTTGGTAAAAAAGTGGGGTAATATTTTGTACAATGTTCTAGTAGACTACGGGTTAAAATAAACGTTTTTATATTCGCAAATGTTGTTAAAATGTGTTTTTGATATTTTAAAATATATCTGTAGTTTTAAAAAGTGTGTTGCCATTTTAAAATTCTTAATGCAATGTGGCATTGTATAAAAAATAATTTTGGTTATATTTCTGACATATTAAGTCGTTAAAATCTCTCAAATCTGAGATGAATTAACAAAATTCTGTTAAAAAGTGGGGTAATTTTTGGTAAAATGATCTACGGGCTAAAATAAACGTTTTGGAGGGTAGGGTAATTTTGGTAAAGTGGGGTAAGTTTTGGTAAAATGATCTACGTACTGAAATAAACATTTTTGAGAGTGGGGTAATGTTTGGTAAAAATGGGGTAATTTTCGGTAAAAGTGGGGTAATTTTGGTAAAAAACAGGGTAATTTTAGGTAAAAAATGTGTCTTACCTTCTGCATCGGCCGCGCAGTGATAGAACGTGCACTGCGCGCACCACAGGCAGGAGATTTTCGCGATCGCCGACTGCGCAGCGTCGGGCGCGTAATCGCACGCCCCCTTCGGGTTCCTCTCCTCGGTAAACAGCTGATTGCAGTAGCGGCACACCGACTGCTGTTTCGCCTTCTTCAAAGGTTTTCCGCCGCCGCCCATGGAGGGCGGCTGCTGAAGCTGAAGCTGCTGCTGCGAGAGGCCCTCCTGCTGCTGCATCTCGATGAAGGTTTTCTTGGGGGAGGCGGGGGAGTCGGCGCCGAGGCGCGACAGGGTGGAGGGGAGTTTGCGCCCCCCGCCGCCGCCGCCACCGTTGCCGTTGCCTCCGAGCCCCGGCTGCTCTTCCACCGGGTAGATGTACTCGTGGAACGGCTGCAGCTGCACGTACGGGTAATTTTCACCTGCAAAAGAAAAAACAAAAATGTAATTTCGACATTTTTATTTATTCTTTGGTTACAAAAAAAAATTTAACTTTGAACACCTTCGAGCATACAATATAGGGATCACGATACCCTAAACTTAGAGTATACAAAACATGGAGAAACCTACAAATACCGCTGAAATCTTTTTTCAATGTCTCTATCATCAACAAAAACTGTGATGTAAGTGATTTAAATACGTTTCGGAAATTGGGGTAATTTTGGTAAGAAAAAGTGGGATAATTTTGGTAAGTGGGGTAATTTTGGTAAACGTGGGGTAACTTCCGGTAAAATGGTCTACGTGCTGAAATAAACGTTTTGGATAGTGGGGTAATGTCTTACATCGCGTTATCTTTGTTTTGTTCTTCGATAGAGACATCTTGGTACTTTTTTGTTCGGTTTGGGGTAGTGTGGTGTGATACCCTAAACTTAGAGTAGAAAAAACATGGAGAAACCTACAGGGATAAAAAACGCTATTTTTGCTACTACTAACCTTTGCTAGATTCGTACGTTGGCTGCCTTGGTTCTAACGGTTTGTCTCTGGGTATGTAGTGCTGTATCCTGTGCGGGTCCTGCGAATGTTTCGACGAGTCACTTGAACTTCTCGAATCGCCTCCTAGTTGAGGTTCTTGCGGCAAATTAAGGGTCTGAAAAAATTGAAAAAATGAATTTTTTTTTACGTTATTAAAAAAAATCAACGCACCATAAACACGTCGTCGTCTCCTACGTCTTTAGGGCATTTCGGCAACGGTGATGAAGGAGAGGTATCGGCAAAACCTAAAAAAAAAAAAAATATGTTGAAATTACCCCATTATTAAATTAAACAAAAAATAGACTGGACAACTCATTATAAAATAACAAAATGAAGCTTTTCATTATTAAATAAGTAATACTTTTGCTCATGACTGTATCTTAAATTAAACAAATTTTATTCTTTATTTGTGCTTTGCCTCATTAATAATGATACAGACAGAGTAAATTATTAGTCTTGTTTTGAGCATGAAATTGCAAAATTGGCTTGTTTTAACTAAGTATAGATTGAGAAGGTCATGTTAATGGAAAACAGACGATTTAACTGTATTTTTAGATAATTACTTAAGGGTTTTCATATTAAATAATGTCTGTGGTCAGACAGCAAATTATAATAATAAAAAATATTAAATTTTTACTCTGACACTTTTCTTCAATAATAATGTCTAGGAAAAATAAATCTATAAGCAAGATGTAAATTTAACGAATAAATTAATATTTGTAGGTTGGTAAAATTACTCACCATGAAGGAATCCCGTAGTAAGAAAGCAATGAAAAAGATGCAAATAGAGCAGATAAGAAATATTTTACCCTACAGCTTAGCAGGGCCCATTTTTTAAACTAACATTTTCTTTAGGAAATTTTAGGATGTTAAAATGGTATAATAAAATGTTATAATGTTTAATAGTAGGTGGGTAAAAATTTATTTATTTATTTTATTAAAAATGGGCACAAATAAATATAAATTAAAATTATTATACATTTTTATTATACTGTTTAAAAATGACATTTTTTGTATGTCCAAACAAAATTCGTTGTTTTATTTAAACATTTTTTGAATTCAAACCCAAAATTGGTAAAAACGCGTCTAAAAATATTTATCAAAAACCTGAGGTTAAACATTTTGCAGATACAAAAGTCCTAAATGTTAAGGTCCAAATCCAAAAACGAACTGTGATTTATTTAAAACGACTATTTTTTGATTTTCACATATTTTTACCAAAAAATTTTAGAGAAAAAAGTTGTAGAAAATTTAATTCTCTACAAAAAAGTTCTTATGTATATCTTTTTAATATAGTCATCGAATCGAATTTAAGAGAAATTAATCTCAAGAAAACACAAATGTTTCAAATTTTGACATATTAAACTGCTCATATCTTGTAAACTGTGCCAAAGGTAAGAACTTTTTTGTAGAGAATTAAATTTTCTACAACTTTTTCCTTTAAAATTTTTCGGTAAAGCAAGTCATTCACTTAATATTTTTTAAAATATGTAAAAAAAGTAAAAAAAAAATGATACCATCAAGGTGAATCAAGAAAGAAAAAAAATTCTTAAAGGCTCTTTTAAAAAGCGTTAAATACTCTGTAAGTAATAATGAACCACTATATGAATGGGAAAATTCCCATTTGACGAAAATTCCCGGAAACTTTCCATCGAAAATTCCCGAAATTTTCCGAAAGTTTCAAAAAAATTTTTTTATTGCGAAAATATTTTTTTTTATGCCAGGGATTTGCAGTAATATATTACACATTAACTTTTTGTCAAATTTTATTAAGAAAAAAAATTAAAAAAATGTTTATAAGAATGTAACTGCAATACAATTTTTAGTATCTTTTACTTTGGAATATTCCTATTGTATACTGAAACCTACAAAATAAAAATAAAATGTTTACTATTAGAAATTCACTGCTAGTAAATCCTAGATATTACGTAAAAAAATTAAAAGGGATAAAGTAACTAATATAGGTATAGGAATATTGAAAAGTAAAAAGTAAAGTAAAAAATAATTCGAAACACTAGATTTTTCTCTTCGCATTGTGCTATGCCTATAAATAAACAACAAAAATGTAAGAATGAATTTAACTTTGTTTATTGTTTTTATTTTGTTTACCTTTTTTTAAAAAAGTTTTTTGTGATGATGCTGAATCCGGCTTCATTGAGGTTATGTAACATAACTTACATTATTTATACTTCTGCTTTAAATTAACACAAATTAAATTCTTATTCAAAGTTTCTTGGCCTTGTATCATGGCCTTAACGAAAATTAGCGACTAAACAATTGACATTTAAATGAAAAAAACAAGGAAAGTTTCCAAGGAATGTTTCCGCGGTAGCTTAAAAGAAACTTTCAAAATGAAAATAAATTCCCAATTGGAAACTTTCCAAAACGGAAAGTTTCCTTAAAATGGAAACTTTCCGATTCCCATCTCTACTTAAAAACCCGGCAAAGATATAGAAATTAAAAAAAAAGTAATTAAAAATACATGCTATTTAAATGGGAAAATTGTAGTACTTAGAATTGAAATAAAGGGCTCAAACTTTGAGGGAATTTTTTGTTCGATGTTTTGAACAATATTTTGGAGTTTCTGTGAAAAACAAAAATAGTCGTTTTAAATGAAACACCCTACTGTGCCTACTAACAAGTGAGGAAATTGTGGCGATGAAAATTATATTTTTTAGAACTTGAATTCCCCTTACCGTCAAGCAAATCCTCGATGGCCGTCCGCACGCCCTTGTCGAAAGCTCTTGCGTCCGCGGCCGCTTGAAAAGTCAGCCCGAACTTTTTGTCGCCGGTTTTCCAGTGATGAAAAGTCGGCATCACCTTGTTGTACTCGAAGTCCTTCTTTATTGTACAACTTAACACTATCTGCAATACAAAGTGCCTCCTTTTAGAACCTAACAACTTGAGCAAATCAAAAATGCATCTCGAGGCAAAAACACAAGATTGCCCTGAGATGAACTCGGCCTGCCATGATTTTAAGACGTCCTCAAGGAAATTAGTCCTGAGCGTACAGGAAACAGGATGAAAAAAAAAATACGATCTAAAATTTGCGTCGGGATAATGTTTTGGGGTGCATGTCTTTAATTGTACCTTTCTAAAAAGGACAAACATATTTTCTACTCTTAGCTTGTACGTTTTTTAGCTTGTAAATATTTAAGGCTTACAATTAATTGTCATTATTTAGCTAATATTTATCAAGCTTGTTGTCATTTCATCTGTACCTTATTTTAGTTTGTTGTCATTGCTTATTTTAATCATTTTGAATTTTTATTATTTAGACTTCTAATATTTTACCTGGCCTTTATTTCAACTTGAAGACATTTTATTTGGTCCTTATTTAAGCTTGTCTTCATTTTTCTGGTATTCACTTTATCGTCATTTTATTTCGTCTTCATTTTGGTTTGTTATTATTTAAGCTTATCGTCATTTTATCTGGTCTTCATTTTATTTTGTCGTCATTTTTCTTGTTATCATTTTAGATTTTCATTATTCAAGCTTGCAATCATTTTAGCATGTCATTTTATGGGATTTTATTAACTTGTAATTATTTGAACTTATCGTCATTTTATTTGGTCTTCATTTTAGCTTGTTACTATTTAAGCTTATCGTAATTTTATCTGGTTGTCGTCATTTTTCTTGGTATCTTTTTGATCTTCATTATTCAAGCTTGCCATCATTTTAGCATGTCATTTTATCTGGTCTTCATTTTATTTTGTCGTCATTATTCTTGTTATCATTTTAGATTTTCATTATTCAAGCTTGCCATCATTTTAGCATGTCATTTTATATGGGGTTTATATTAGCTTGTAATTATTTGAATTATCGTCATTTTATTTGGTCTTCATTTTGGTTTGTCGTCATTTATCTGGTCTTCATTTTATGTTGTCTTCTTTTTGGCTTGTCATTTTTCTTATTATTATTGTGATTTTTATTATTTAAGCTTGCCATTATTTTAGCATGTCATTTTATATGGTCTTCATATTAGCTTGTAATTATTAGAGCTTATCGGCATTTTATTTGGTCTTTATTTTAGCTTGTTATTATTTATGCTTATCAATATTTTATTTAGTTTCCTTTTATGTTGTCATTTTAACTGGTCTTCATTTTATGTTGTCGTAATTTTTGTGGTCTTTATTTTAGGTTGTCATTTTATCTGGTCTTCATTTTATGTTGTCGTCATTTTGGATTGTCATTTTTCTTGTTGTCATTTTGATTTACATCATTTTGGCATGTCATTTTATATGGGGTTCATATTAGCTTGGAATTATTTGAATTATTGTCATTTTGGCTTGTTATTACTTAAGCTTATCGTCATTTTATTTGGTCTTCATTTTGGTTTGTCGTCATTTTTCTGGTTTTAATTTACGGTTGTCATTTTATCTGGTCTTCATTTTATGTTGTCTTCTTTTTGGCTTGTCATTTTTCTTATTATTATTGTGATTTTTATTATTTAAGCTTCATATTAGCTTGTAATTATTTGAACTTATCGGCATTTTATTTGTTCTTTATTTTAGCTTAATATTTAAGCTTATCGATATTTTATTTGGTCTTCATATTAGATTGTCGTCATTTTTGTGGTCTTTATTTTATCTGGTCTTCATTATATGTTGTCGTCATTTTGGCTTGTCATTTTTCTTGTTAATTATCATTTTGATTTTCATTATTCAAGCTTGCCATAATTTTAGCATGTAACTTAATATGGTGTAATTGTAATTATTTGAGCTTATCGTCATATTATCTGGTCTTTTTTTATGTTTCGTAATTTTTTCTTGATTTCATTTTAGCTTGTCATTTTATCTAGTCTTCATTTTAGTCTTTTTGTAGCATTCATTTGAGCTTTCCTTAATTTTTCTTGTGATCATTTTAGATTTTCATTATTTAGGCTTTCATTATTTTAGCATGTCATTTTATCTGGTCTTCATTTTATTTTGTCGTCATTTTTCTTGTTATCATTTTAGATTTTTATTATTCAAGCTTGCCATCATTTTAGCATGTTATTTTATATGGTGTTCATATTAGCTTGTAATTATTTGAATTATCGTCATTTTATTTGGTCTTCATTTTGGTTTGTCGTCATTTTTCTGGTCTTAATTTTAGGTTGTTATTTTATCTGGTCATCATTTTATGTTGTCGTCATTTTGGCTTGTCATTTTTCTTCTTATTATTGTGATTTTTATTATTTAAGCTTGCCCTCATTTTAGCATGTCATTTAATATGGTCTTTATTTTAGCTTGTTATTATTTAAGCATATTGATATTTTATTTGGTCTTCATTTTATGTTGTCGTCATTTTGGATTGTCATTTTTCTTGTTGTCATTTTGATTTACATTATTCAAGGTTGCCATCATTTTAGCATGTCATTTTATATGGTCTTCATATTAGCTTGTAATTATTAGAGCTTATCAGCATTTTATTTGTTCTTTATTTTAGCTTATTGATATTTTATTTGTGGTCTTCATTTTATGTTGTCGTCATTTTGGATTGTCATTTTCTTGTTGTCATTTTGATTTTCATTATTCAAGCTTGCCATAATTTTAGCATGTCACTTAATATGGTGTAATTGTAATTATTTGAGCTTATCGTCATATTATCTGGTCTTTATTTTATGTTATCGTAATTTTTTCTTGATTTCATTTTATCTAGTCTTCTTATTAGCTTTTCGTCATTTTATAGTATTCATTTGAGCTTTCCTTAATTTTTCTTGTGATCATTTTAGATTTTCATTATTTTAGCATGTCATTTTATCTGGTCTTGATTTAAGCTTGTCATCATTTTATCTAGTCTTTATTTCAGCTTTTAGGTTTTTTTTTTATCTTCATTTTAGCTAGTCTTCATTTAAGATGTAAATTTTAGAAAAAAGTGGTCTTACCGAATCATCGGAGATCCTTTTCCCGAAAATCAGGTAGTCGTGCTTGGGTTTCTGGTCCTGCTGCTGCTGCTGGGTCTGCGCGTTCTGGCCCGGCTGGATCACGGCGACGGTCTGCGTGCCGCCGCCGTTGCCGCCGTTTCCGTTGCCGCCTCCCGCGTTCGCCTGCTGTGTGGTCGTGGTCGAGGTGGTATTGTTGTTGTTGGCGGTGGTGGTGATGGTGGTCCCGGCGCTGGCGGCGGTCGCCGTCGGGGGCGGCTGGGCGGCCGGTCGCGGTCTTTTTCGCACCGAGACGTTCGAGAGCCCGCCGCCGCCCAGCGGCACCCAGCCGCCGCTACTGTCGTCCCTCGACATAACCTGGGCACGCACGCGCACCAGGTAGTTGCCACTGAAAAAAAAAAGAAATAACTGTTTTGGGTTTTTCTTACTTTCTAATAATATTATTCGAGAATTTCTGCATGAATTTACAAAAAGATCGGAGTGTCACAGAAAAAATTATATTTTAAAGATTGATTAGTTTACCAAAAAATACATGTCGTCAAAGACCACTTATCGACTTATAAAATCGTTATCCTATATGCTAAACTGTACTAATTTTACAATTTAGATAGAACATCTAAAAACGTAGAGAATAAGGCACTTTAATTGCAAAAATATTATTTTAAAATACTTAAAAATCCTATATTATATGTAAAAAAAACGGTTTTTTTCAGATGTGAAAAAAACATGAAAAAAAAACGGTTTTTTTTTGTATTTTTTTTAAAATGAAATTTTGAGTAAAATATATATGAAATGTAGAATATATTAAATTTGTCATTATTCAAAATTTTGACCGAGACTAAAAAATCTGATTTCTTATTATTTGGTAGCTTCCACATTAGGAACCAGTAGCAATGTAAAACTTCTACACCAATACAAAAAATTAAACGATAAAAAAAATTGTTTTGCGATTTTTCGGATAGCTGTATCTTTGTTAAAAATGGTCGTATTGGAGCCGTAAAAGTTTCTAGTTTTGAGATTTTTAGATGAAAAATGTGCAACGCTCAATCCTAACAAATACCGTAATAAAAAATAGATTTTTTTTTTGCTTTTTGGTCCACGGAATGTTCTGACTTAACCACCAATAAATAAATGTTCTAAAAGAATTTGCTATTGTTTTTTTGAAAAAAAAAATTCCATACTCTACATGAATTTGAAAAATCATGAAAAAAGTGCTTTTGGTAGCTTTTTGAAAAATCAAGCGCTGAATCAAAAATATTATATGTAGTTACTTTTTTTAGGACCAAATCAAAACAAGCGCGGCCCTTATTGGTCAATTGGGTGCTGGTGGCGCGTGCATAGGGCGAGACTGTATTTACATTTACTAATTGTCATTTAGTGGCTAATTTTAGTTCATGAAACCTAAAAAATTAGGCAAATGGGACTAATCTTGAAAAAAACCTAAAATGTGAAAAAAAACAATGAAACCATTTAAAAAAAACCTGAAAAAAAAACAAAACCGTTTTTTTCAAGTCGCATCTCTACCTATATAGGATAAAAAAATAAATCATATTTTAAAAAATCGTCATGGAGTAATTAGTTTATTATTAGTTTTAAAAATATAGTATTTAAAAAGGGGCATTTTTTATAAATAAAATATCCATTCAAATACAAAAAATTTAAAGGAAATTATTGGAAGTTTTTGTTTTGATTCGCAAACTTTTAATAGGATACATTGTGCATTAGAAAATTAATTGAAGGTAACAAAATAATGACTTAAATAACTTTAAACCCTAAATTCCAAAGGTAAAAAATGCATTTAAAAGATTTTAAACCATACTCGTATTTACAAAACAGATTAAATACTTTGTGAACAATAAAATGTCAAATAGGTACCTATAAATTAAAATGATATTATGTTTTATAGGTATTAATATAAAAACGAATATACAAGGTGTCCCCAAAACGCCTGTACAAAATAATACCACATACAGGGTGTTTTACATTCGTAGTACATTAGAAGTTTCTATGGAACGGAAAAAGATATCGATTTGAAGTTTTCATGTAAGTAGGTATACTTTTCTAAAATATTTTGAACAAAATGCCACTTCCGGTTTAACCGGACGTGACATCAACTTTGTTATTTCAAATAAAAAAAAACATATTCTGTATAAAATTCCAAGTAAAATTACTATACCTAAAGTGAATAGTTATGAGTTATTTTTTTTTCGTTAAAATTTAAGAAATGCGCGTCAATCAAAAATAGCCTATAACTTTTTTGTTATTAGGTCTGCGTATATGGGGGTTGAATTTTTGGAATCTTAAAACATTGTTTAAAAGATTCCATGTCAATTCTTTAACATTTTAAAGACTAAAAATAATTTATAATAACCTTTATCCTACCAAAAAGTACGCCACTGATCTAGGAACTTTAGGCTAATCTGGTTGCCTAATTTAATTTATTATGTTTTAGTTGGTAACAACCAGCGTTTCCAGATTCTGTCAAAAAAGTTGCCAAATTTTGTTTACATTTAGCTTAAATAAAAAAAATAACAAAATCAACAATGCAAATTGTGAATTTGGCGTTTTTATTGTTGATTTTTGCAATGAAGGTAAATTCAAACAAAATCTGGCAACTTTATGACAGAATCTGGTGCATTTCTTTCAAATTTTAGGTTATGTGCTCAAATTGTAAATATCTTAACTAAGGGAAGTGCTTTTGGATTTGTTTACACAAATTGAATGTTTAAAGTTTAACCTGCGAACTTGTCCTAATTTCATCTGAGTTAACAGAAAGAAAAAAACCGATGAAAAAAATTTTTTTTTAAGTTTTTAAAATAGGTACTAAATCATTGCTTAAACTAGCTGGATGAGTAAATAAATACAGAATGGAATTGTATTTATTTTAATATAATAAATAGTAAATTTAGTTAAATCGCATTATTTCGGTTTCAGAGCATTTCAGGGACACCTTGTATATAATATATATTTTTTATATACCTACGTAGAAAAATTCTTATAAAAGAAATAATAAAATATGTCCGTGGTTTTCTTAATGAATTCTCGGATTTTGCGCAATGAGTACCTTTAACCCCATGACCTATATGAAATGTTGCACGTAGCAAATTTTATAATATAGGTATTAAATAAAATCACTAAAAAATTATCCTGCAATAAATTATTACAGCAATAATTATTATAATTAAAACAAAAATATTATATTAGTAAAATAAAAAAGACTTAATTATGAATCAAGTTCTAATAAATAAAAACAACTTGTTGAGATCATTTATACAAAAAAAATCAACTAAAAATTGTTTTTTTATAAAATACATATAATTCATAGAGTAACTTACGTTTCCCTGGTATTCTGAATCCTCATTTCGAACACTATAAATTTCGTCAAACTGCCAATAATAAATAATCTCACCACCCACAACAGTCTTACTCCAGTCAACTAAAAAGTCTGACAAATCAACCCGACTGCGAGAGGAGGGAATCAAGAGACATGCGCGCGCACCCCCAGCCACCCTCTCCCAGGTCTGACGTCACTGCGCCTCCCCTCCTCCAATGTAGGTAAATGGGTGGCCGGTTCAACGAACTAGAGCATCCTTGGGAGCGCTGGAGGGGGAGCGCCAGGGGGGATAGTGCGCGCTGGGGGGCTGTTTTGGAGGGGGCCTTATTCAATGGATCATTGATGGTAATAGCATCGGCAGGAGTTACATAGTCGAGGGATATATGAATCGATTATTTTCGAGTAGAATGTATCTTTAAAGTTTGAACCTTTTATTAAAATTAGTGATGCAAGCAGAAAAAAAACGTTTTCTTACTACCTCGACTCAAAATACGTTGTTTCGTCCCCGATTCCACGGCAGAAAGTTTACGTTTCTTGCATTGGTCAAGCTATACGCACACACTCTAATAGCGGGAGTAAAAACTTTTTAGTCGTGTGCTTAACATTCAAATTTCGTACTGCCAACATGAGAAACACAAAAATATGACAGTTTTAAACCATAATTTTGCAATTATAACAACAAATAAACAATTTATGTTTTTACTTTTTTACTTTTTATGTTGTTTTAAGTGTTTAATGGTACTTTTATTTGTTATAAAGTAGTAATTTGTTAATTAAAATACAACGTTTTATTTTTACTGTATTGCACCGCTGAATTCACGGCCTACTGTTATTTATTTATCAAGCTCTTCAAATGGAGATAGGTACATAAATACACATTTAATTTTTTCCCGTATTTTCGGCCGGGTTGTATTTTCGGCCGAGGTAGTAAGAAAAATAGTATACACTACACGGGCAGAAAGTGTGAGAGTCCTGAACTGCGCGCCATGATGCCCTCGGCTTCGCCTCGGGCATCATGGCGCGCAGTGCAGGAATCTCACACTTTCTGCCCTTGTAGTGTAATATACTATTTCTTACTACCTCGACTCAAAATACGTTGTTTCGTCCCCGATTTCACGGCAGAAAGTTTACGTTTCTTGCATTGGTCAAGCTATACGCGCACACTCTAATAGCGGGAGTAAAAAATTTTTAGTCGTGTGCTTAATATTCAAATTTCGTACTGCCAACATGAGAAACACAAAAATATGACAGTTTTAAACCATAATTTTGCAATTATAACAACAAATAAACAATTTATGTTTTTACTTTTTTACTTTTTTTGTTGTTTTAAGTGTTTAATGGTACTTGTATTTGTTATAAAGTAGTAATTTGTTAATTAAAATACAACCTTTTATTTTTACTGTATTGGCACCGCTGAATTCACGGCCTACTGTTATTTATTTATCAAGCTCTTCAAATGGAGATAGGTACATAAATACACATTTAATTTTTCCCGTATTTTCGGCCGGGTTGTATTTTCGGCCGAGGTAGTAAGAAAAATAATATACACTACAAGGGCAGAAAGTGTGAGTTTCCTGAACTGCGTGCCATGATGCCCTCGGCTTTGCCTCGGGCATCATGGCGCGCAGTGCAGGAAACTCACACTTTCTGCCCTTGTAGTGTAATATACTATTTGTTTAAAAAAAAAACATGTTTTTTTAGAAAAAAAACAAAGGGGTTTGTTTTTTTTCAAAAATGTTGTTTTTTTTTTCAGAAACATGTTTTTTTCCTTATATTAATAGAGATTATTAGGGAAAAGAGTAAGCTTAAAGCAGAAAATTTTTGAAACTTTAAAATGGGTAATCGTTATTTATAATAGAGGGTTTTAAATAAAAACACCAAATAAAAACTTGCTTCTAAAATAAACATACATGAGTGTCTATGAAAATTAAAACAAAAACTTAACTGAAATAGTTTTTATCTATAAAAAAAATAGGCAGAATTTAAATCTTACATGTCAATGAATATTTAAAGTTAAAAATCACTATAATCAGAATCAACGTCAAATTCTTCTG